GCAAGGCCTGCTGCTGAAGCGTTGTACACCCAATTCATAATCAAATGGGCGTGTCGATTCAACGAGCGATCTGCTGATCCTTGTGGCGTTACTGAAAGGTGTACCCGCCACATTTGTACTTGAGCCTGTTTCCCTAACCGACCCGAAAAGATGGCCCCTGACGGAAAGAGTGGGTATTCTCTGATTTATGTAAGTACATTTTGGTTTAGTCCCACTGGCTGTTAGTACTTACTATGCACATGCTGCGCAACTAGAAACTCCAAAGTGCATACCAACCATTTCTGTTTTGGTTTAACAAGTGCGTTTGGCGATTCCGGAATTCGCTCTGCCTGTTGAATATCGCCACCTTAGCTCACTTTTAAATTGCTATTAAATGTATGAGATTTCAAAAAGAATAGTTTCCGTCATTCTTCTACTGCCCGCGTTGCTTACTAGAATCCAATTGGAACGCCTCGGTCAACTAACTTCGTCTACGTCCTTTTATACCACGGAGTACATAAAAAAGGAATCAAACTTCGATTATCCTTTTCACTTCATAATCTTCAAGACCTGCTCGCCATGAACTTGAACAAATTCTTCAGCATTTAATTTACCAAAATGATCATTAAACTACAAGAAACACAAAGATATAACGATCATTACAAATTTAAATTAGTTTGAAGAAAAATATAAATTTTTTTTTTCGGTTTTTTTTTTTCAATCAGAACACCGCTATCGGTCGGTTGGCGCAGATGGTGTTGTTGATTTTAGCGTGATTATTGCCTTGGTAATGATGATGTTGATGATCGTGATACAAACCAATTTGATTTGATTATGTGGCGCTGATGGGTGGCAGATTGATGCTCAGACCGGTAGGTCGGACGGTTAAACGACAGACAAGCAGATCTTATCAATATTGGGCCTCCAACAGGCGCCTCATCTATCAGCGTTGCTGATCAGCGCTGAATACCGATCGAACTGTACGCGAGCAGTGATCAGCGATCATTGTTGTTATTACTGCGCTCACTCCCGCCTTTAGCTACCAACCAACCAACCCACTGCAGGTGAATGCTGCTGTTGTCGGTGAGTATGGGTTGGTTAAACGATCGATCGTGTGGTTTGTTTGTTTGTTTGTTTGTTTGCTTTTATTCTGTTTGTCTGCAGCTTAGCGTCGGAACAATTAATTACCAACTCAATTTGGTTGAATGGTATTTATTCTTCAACATTTTTAAATATCTTTGGAAGGCATTCTTGAAGGCATTTCTGTTGCGAATATATTTACATACGTGTATATATGTACATACATACTCTCGTAAGTACTTATTTATGTGCATATACATAATTCTTCTTGTCTAAACGCCTATTAATGAATTTATTTAAACGCACACCAACATCTTCTTATATAAGTACATAACTACATAGATATGTATGTGCATAAACATTTCGTAAATAATTTGATTTTATTTGATTTTCAATTTAGCGAAATCGTGCTGATTTTTATTTCACTTTTCAATGGTTTGTTTATTTTTTCAAATGTCCGAACAAAACACAAAAAATTAAGAAATAAATAAAGCAAAAAAAAAAACGTTTAAGTGCCGACTTGAGTAAAATATTCAATTGTTTCCACCGATTGATTACCGCGCGAGTGCTGATTAATTGCCAAATTCATTCATAATGAATTACAATTGCCGTTAAAATAAATTTATATTCAATTCTATGTGTAATAAGTTTTCCTTAATTGACGTGAAAGTTTGTTTGAAGTCGAGAAAAGAATGATTAAAATGGTTATTTTTTGGTCTGCTGGGGTTTGCTGGCGCTAATACTGCCTGGTATCAAGCGAAAACGGTCGTGGTCGAAGGCCGGTGAATCGTCCCAAACAGTGGCCAAGCCGGCATTGACGGCCAGGAAGGTTTTGCTGTGTGTTTGGTTTGATTGGAAGGGAATCATCCACTATGAGCTGCTCCCATATGGCCAGACGCTTAATTCTACCATCTACTGCGAACAACAGGACCGCTTGAAGCAGGCGATCGACCAGAAGCGTCCAGAATTGGCCAACAGGAAGGGTGTAGTGTTCCACCAGGACAACGCCAGACCACACACTTCGTTGATGACTCATCAGAAGCTACGGGAGCTCGGATGGGAGTTTTTATCGCATCCACCATATAACTCGGACGTAGCGCCAAGTGATTACCACCTGTTCCTGTCCATGACGAATGCCCTTGGTGGTGTGAAGTTGTACTCAAAAGAGGCTTTTGAAAAGTGGCTATCCGAATTCTTCTCCAATAAGAAGGGGGGCTTCTACGAGGAAGGTATTATGAATTTGCCGTCTAGATGGAAACAGATCATCGAACAAAACGGCGCATATTTTAACTAAATCCGATCACTGTAACACTTTTTATAAAGCATTGAATGAAGAGCAAAAAACCGGAAGGGTGATATTTGACAACCTTATATGATCTGAGTCAAAAACCTTTCTCGAGCGGATTGTACAGTCTGAGCTGGAGTTCACTAAATTTGCTGTTCATTTTAGGCGCGAGGCAGTCATTAATCATCGCCTTAATTCTTTTTTTAAGAAATATGGACCAATGGTACTCACCGCACATAGATCACTCCAAACAAATTGACTTTGTTAGGCTATAACAGCGTCTCAACAATGCCTTTTGGCTTATCATCAGCGTGCGACGCTCTTAAAGGTCATTCACCATAAGACAAGTTGTTGCGCTAGATATCGTATGGACTTATTCGGGTCTTCTTCTACATACTTCGTCCCAGCAGCGTCTTTGATGCTCTCTGTACGGTGTCTATGAGAATGCGCATACTCCGTTATAGAAAATGTTGAGCGATGCCAATCCATGGTTGGTTGTTCGAACTATTGATTCTGCTGGGCGATTATGTCGACCAAATATTTGAGGCTTTATGCGATGCAATGCTTAGCACTCGGCTACCGTGGCCGAACCATTATTTTGGTAATATATTTACACGGCTTGCAATCGTTGCTCCGGAGTAAGTATGTTCGTTAGGAAATGGCAAACCAAAAAGTATAAACGCTAAGCGATTTTCGGGTGACCAACTCCTCCAATTAGGGATGAAAGTATTATAATTTTTCTACCTACTGTTTATTCTAAGCCTCGTCCGAATGGTCAGCGGATTTTTGCTAAAGCAATTAGGAAAACTAATTTTAAAATTGCTTTTATATAATTTTAGCTGTTTGTATTGACAGTAAGCAAACCCGTGACCCTCCACATGGGAATGGCGCGACAGTCTCTTCCATTTTTCATTGCCACCTGTCGCCAAGGAAACGACGATCAACGACGAGTTATGACTGAGAACAGTGCCTTTGCACCGATTGTTTCTTGAATGACCGGAGATATTTTGCCTCTTTTTCTTATCCCGTCTGTAGAAAGCTTGGTAGAAAATTGAACCTTATCTATTTAGTTCTGCAGCTCATATTATTTTTTTCCAGTGTTAGACTGAAGAATCCACATGAACGAGAGTCATCTTGACTGATACCTCGTTCAGTATCGAAAGGCCCGTAGAGGTCCTATTCGGACGGAATTTTTGGTGCTGCTCAGCATTAGTTTACATGGCTGTATACGTTTTCGGGGATACCGAGCTCGGGAATAATGGCGAGGAGGAAACTCCTTTTCGTGCTGTTTAGATTTAGAATAGCTCGGCCGATAACATATCGGCTTCCAAAGATTTTTTGTTCTACAGATGAACAAAAGCTATTCGAACTTCTTCATAGACGGGCAATTGAACGTCTGATAAATCAGCATCAATTGAGAGTTTGTGTTCATCATCTCCAGGTGTAACACATTCCCAGCATTCATCAATCTGGATCAGTGTCCCTACTTTAACTCATAATGTTCTTAATATCGGTCATCCGATTACTTTCTTCGTTCCTACATGAGAATACTGCGTTCCTGAACCTTTCTTCTTTTTTTCACCTCCAACGTGTTGTGGTCGATCGCAACGTTACTTGGTAGGCAGCCCTCTTACTCTCCACTGCAATACGACAATCCTCATTGTAATAGCTGCTCTTTTTCCTTTGCGAAAAACAATAGTTTCGTGTTCAGTTGTTGAAGACTGCTCTGCTCTCTGGGAGCGGTTTTCATCAGTTAACCTTTCTTATGTTCCTTGATGGGCATTCTATGCTGCACAGAAGCGGGAGCATAACGTGGTTACTACCAAATAGTTGCACGGGATCGATGTTAGGACCTCGATGCAGAGACAACCAAGTAGTTTGATTCATTTTCTCATCCCAGAAATTGATACCCAATTAAACCATATTTCTGAGTCTAATCAGTTTCAGCCCATTTGAGGTTATTTTGTCATGGAAGCATAATTTTCCGACTGTTGCACCAAAAATACTTTTTTTGACCTAGTGGAAGGCAGTGTATATTGGTTCGTTTGAGGCGCCCATTGGAGGTATCTTTGGTCACATCGCGCATCGTGGATAAATACAAAACTACCGGAGTGACTTATGATTCTCGGTGATTGAGCCTCTCTCCCACTACAAATCCAAGATGTTACAGAGATCTCTCAACCATTCAAATAGTGTTCACCACATTTCTTGGACCCTCGCGATTTCAGGTTTAATTTCAACGAGGGCATCAATCGGTTGAGCAGCGGCATTTGCAGTGGTTGTTTAAAAAAAAAGAAGATCTTCTTATCCGTAGAATATTTGTCCTTTTCATGGGAATTTCTCGGGACTCAAATTTAGAGCGAAGAAGTATAACACGAAAACACACTTCTGCAGCGAGCTAATGGCACCTCAAGTGAGCATACGCAGCATTGAGACTTTAGAGAACCATAAAGCTCCCTTTCTTTTATTCATAACACAAGGCTCCACGTGGTTTGAAATCCGCAGCGGGCATACGGCTTGCTCACATTTCCAAGGATTGGGTATGGGGATTATTTCAGAGGAGCAGCAACACAAACTCTAGTACAAAGCAACAGTTAAACCTCAGTTTTGTAATCAAACAATTTGTTGATAAACTTTTCCTTCATTTATTTCACAGTACCTCTCCACACGCCGCCATATTCAACGCTCGCAACAACAGCGCTCCTACGCTTCCAACAACAAAAGCACGTGGTAACACACACACAAATGCTTGCCACACCCCCAAGCTTACTACAAAATCTAAACAGCAGCGGCATGGGCCTGAAATCCTTTCACAACCCCGCAATAAATATGCAAAACTATGCGTCACCAGCGCTAACGGTACGGTTTCCCGCATTAAAGACGCATGCGCACCATTTACTGGACATTCCCATGGGCACCGCCAACTTTATCAGCCAACATCACAGACAGCAACATTCACACCATTTAGCGCAGACGTCCAATCTCGCAACGAATCATGCCAGCAATGCGTCGACACAACTACAACTGGGAACGGGTAGCTGCAGCAATATTAATATGAATAATAACAATAGCGGTAATGGCACAAGTGGCGCTGGCGGAAGTGCTGGTGGAGGTGCTGGCGGTGGTGGTAGCAGTAGCGGTGGGGGTGGAAAGCGAAAGCGTTCTTGGTCCCGTGCGGTCTTCAGTAATTTACAGCGCAAAGGACTCGAAATACAATTCCAGCAGCAGAAGTATATCACGAAGCCGGATCGTCGGAAGTTGGCGGCGCGGCTCAATCTCACCGATGCGCAGGTTTGTCGTTGCACCTTTTATGGAAATGCAATAATAAATTCTAAATGAATTTTAGGTTAAAGTCTGGTTCCAGAATCGACGCATGAAATGGCGTCACACGCGTGAGAACCTCAAAAGTGGGCAGGAGAAGCAAATTTCGTCTTCGCCTGCAACACATCCCTCACAAGCTGTTAAAGAAGAGAGCTGCGCTCAATCCACTAATGGCGATAAGCCCGCGGCGGGAGATGGCTATTCCAGCGATGATTCGTCGTGTGGCGAGTTGAGTGAGAATGATGATGAAATTGATGTCGTGCAGTGAGTGCTCGACGTTGTACTTCTTTTAATTTATATATTAACTCTTATTTGTATGTTTCACGTATGCATGTAAATTTAATTTCATATTTAAATACTCAATACACCATAAAGAAACCAAAAACGTATTTAAAAAATATATTTATTTATTTTTAATTTTTTTTCTTTGTTACTCATTAGATTGTAATTCATATGAACTTGTTACGATATTGTTAATTTTTTGCATATATATATAGAAATAAAATGTATTTATGTATAAATATGTGTATACGCGTATGGAAATTGTCGTGCCTGTTATCTCTGAAGGAGCTCGAACTTAAAGCCGTTTGCCAACTCTTCGTTTGGTCTTTTGATCCGGTTAAATCTGGTAAGTTCTTATCATTACGTCCAATCCTAGAAAAGAGCTCCAAAGAACAGCGATTAGGCCAGGGATCCTGGTGCAACCAACATTCAACATCAAGGCAAATTAATTTTTATAATTGTGGTCGCCACTCGGCGAGTGTTTTTCTGACATGAAATAAGGCGCCTCATTAAAACCCACCAGCCATTCGGAGGCGACTTAGTATAAACTGTAGCTCCCACCATTTGTTGGAAAGCATCAAAACGCAAAACCACAAATTGAAGTATATATGGCAGACAATCTCTTCAGCGGTTACAAAGGGTTAGAGGAGTATTTGAGCTGTAAGGATGGGAGCCCTATACAGAAGATAGGAAGGACCTTGGTATAATTTTGGCCTGGATATTGTAGCAGGTTAAATTCCTACTTTTACAGACTCGACTCCAGCATATCTAACGTACGCCCCGCATGTGGAGAGTCTCTGCACGGCACTAACCACCTCTACATATGCCCCCTTAAACCAACTCATCTAACCCCCTCTCCCTTTGGTACAATCCTGTCGAAACAGCTCGTTTCCTGGTCCTCCCACTAGATGAGCTCGGCGACTTACATTGATCAAACCTATACCTATGCGGGGTTAGCTAACCGCTACAACAACAACAACAACACCAACACCAACACCAACAACAACAACAACAACAACAACAACAATAATAATAATAATAATAATAATAATACCAACAACAACAACAACAACGATACCAACAACAACAACAACAACAACAACATAAACAACAACAACAACAACAACAACAACAACAACAGTAACGACACCAACAACAACGACGCCAACAACAACGGCAACACCATCAACAAGGTACGAAGGAGGAGGAGGATATTTCTCGTCTACTGTGCAACTGCATAGGGAAGACATCATAGCCTAACAGCCACTTCCTGGTATAATCTTCGGCAGTTAGGGCACGTAATGATACACAAGTTGCTGAAGCTGCCGAGAGTCGTAGTGGTCTCACAGTCCAAACTAAATAAACTGTTGTTCTCACATCGTTTCTAAGTGTTCCCACCAACGCTTGGTTAAATTTGGCCCCTAAATATAATACATATGTATGTATGTGTACGCACATTTATTTGTGTTTAGAGCTCAAGTTCATGCTGGCTAATTGCGGCAATTCCACTACGATCAGCGAAATTCGATAATAAAAATAAAACAGAAGACATTTGTATGTATGTATGTAAGTTGATAAAAAAAAAACCTTCTAATCTACAAAGTAAGATAAATATATATGTGGAATATATAAAAAAAATAAAAACAATTACAAGCAAATGAAAAAAACAATACGCAAAGCAAATATGAAAACGCTCCACTGCATACATACGCGTATGCATGGATGTGTTTGTCATTATGTGGATGGCCGTTGGTATGGAATGGAGTGCCTCAAATAACAGCAGTCACTGCAGTTGCCACCACCATCAGACCTATGTACTGTATGTAGACTGCAGTGAAAACGTAAAAACAGTGAATGAAATAAAAACAATATAAAATAATAAAACAGAAATTATGAAAACACGCAAAATTTGTCCCACAACAGTGGCATGTCGAATGTTATTGAGAAGTGTTTCAATATTTAGTTGATCGCGGTGTGGCGTGGCGTGATGAAGAGCGAGGCGAAAGTAATGAAAATATTGTACATAGTTTTCCAGCAGTGAAAAATTCTAGTTTAGCGACGGCCGACATGGGTAATGCCCAAGGGAGACAAAGCGTTGCCGACGACAAAGCACAGCGTCGTGGAAGTGAGTTAACGATTTAGACACACAAACATACATATTTCATAAGAATCTCTACATTTGTTTAAATACTAAGGCATATCCTGGAACTTCCGCTATCCGCTCATAAAGCGTCGAGATCAAACTACACTCATGGTTTATAATACGAAGATGAGTGTATCGGATTGGTTGAACTTGCTCGGCTTGCAGCAATATGAAGGTGAGTACATAATATACATGCATATATAAAGGGTATTGTTGTTGTTGGACATAAAGAAGAAATAAGAAAGCGCACATCCTTGGAGGCCACGCCACTGGCTCTCGATGTGTGATAATGCGTTACCCAAAAGTTTTCTTCAATAAATTGATTGTTTCGCTGGTTGTATGGCATTATGTACCACAAATCGTCCACATCAACATTCTCAATTCATTGCAACGTTATGGCCGACTTCATTTTTGTAGAAATATTGACTAATGATTCCCTCTGCTCATACAGCCCATAGTACCAAATAATGAATTTTCAAGGAAGTAAGCGCGTCTGAAAATTGGCTGGCAGATTATCATCAATCCAATCCAAATATGATAATTTTGTTTATTAACATACCAATCCAACCAAAGTTTTCTTGTGAAAATCCGGTCTCTCGGGTCGCTTGGTCATTTGACTTCAATTCTTGCAGGAGTTGGGTTCTGTAAGCTCGTAAACCACGATCCTTCTGCGTCTCTGAGGAAGCGCCGTATCAACTAGAGTAAGTGTGGTGCGAAGCAGATCCATAGTTGCTCAAATCACCGTCTCTGCTCGGCGATTTTGTCGTCCAAATATTGCACGCAGTGCCTGATGCGTAATTTAGGTATTTTTAAACTAATAATATTATTTTTGTTAAGTTATAAGTAGACGCGATGGTGTGCTATTATACTCTGTAGAAAGTTTAGGTTAGTTTAAAATTGTTGCTGTCACTCTCTCAGCTCACTGAGGTCATCAAATGGACACATCAACAGACCAGAATAGCACTGACAAACCTATTAGCCCTCTCACACTAGCTAAACCTAGCTATTTCCCTCGGTTTTCTGAAGGTCGCCGCACCTAGAGACTCAACCTACTAAGAAAATGCCTTAAGGTTCAGGTCCTCGAACGCTCTCTACAACTTTTGCAGAAGTCATTTTATAATACCCACCGTCTCACCGTGCGAGTGCCTTCTTTTACTCCATTTCGGCTGCATTATTATGTTCACTTTGCAACAATAGAAACTTTTCCATATTTGTTTAGCATCTTATGCGATGAATAATTTTCTTATAGTGAGCTTACATGTGGAGAACCGAATGCCAAGCCTCTTACATGATGGTGAAAGTGAATGGTAAATGCTTTTCCATCTCGTTATCCGGTATTTTACTGTGCTTAGCCATGACGTTGAGTGAAGGAGCTTAATGTTACAGATTCCAGGTCTCTTATACCCGCTTGGATAACCGAATCTTACTTAACTAGAAAACCGGAACTCGTCAAGAAAATCCTATCATAACTATTTCAAATAAAACTCTGGAAAAACTCATTTGCCCAGTTTTACATCAAGCGCTTTTACGAGCCTCCATTAGATCGCTAGAAAGTAGAACTTGTGCCTGTTCTGACATTTCTAATTATTACGTTATTAAATCCTTCAGTGTTGTAGTCACCAATGCGTTACGTATACGTTCTCACTATACGTTCATCTACTGGTTTTAAGTTAAGTTGGGTTAACTAAGAAGAAATTGATCCCAAGAGAATCCCACATGAACACATAAGACCCATCCGTTGTAATGCAACAAAAAGTAAAAATATTCTGAATGCTAGACCAGTCTTCAGTTATTGAGTCGCTAAATTCATATTGCAATTCTACAACTGCGTCCTGTATCACCGTCTGTTAACTTCCTTGAGTTGAAAAACGCATTCGATCCGAGAAACTTGAGTCTGATGTAGTATTCTGAGAGCATAGTTGATTCCACCCCTTCTTCCAGACAACCACGTCCCATCGAACTGTGCCTGGTAAAATCTCCCTTTCTTTGCAAAAGGTTTGGTCTTATGATCGGAAGTATTTCCTCTCAGTTTTCACCGAAAAGAAGGGTCTCGCAACCGCGCACATTCAGGAGCCAACCCAATTACTGTAGCAAGCAGAGTGCCCTATCATTTATCTAGAGTCGATTGCTGATTTGCTGAATTTTTGAAATTACACGCTACTCGTCTAACACCCCTTCGCTTTGCAAGAAAGTGGTTGAAATACATCGTTTTCTAGGTTGGTCATTAGATGCCCTCGACGACATCGACTATCTGCAAGCCGTGACAACCAAAACATCAGAATAGACCTATCTGTCCAGAAACAGACCGTGCTTTATCTGGCATTAACGATATTGAGCTAGCCTTACGTGTAAGGAAAAACAAACAGCAAACAACAGAAAAATACCTTTTGGGCAGGGCCAACAAGAACGGCGAGTTTTCTTCATTCAGCTACAGAACGAGCCGCAGACTACGAGTGTATACTTTGTGTAAAGAAAACGATTTTTTATACACATCAAAATAATTAAAAAATATATTTGTGAAAATGAAAATATTTTTTGTAGCAATAATTAAGTGAAAAAGTGCAACGAATTTTGTATAATAAAAATAAATAATTTTCGAAATATTAAACGCCGCATTTATTGCCTGTGAATATGGTTGCGCTGTTGAAATTTTTTCGCTAGACTACAGTGAGTATAAGCTCCGATTAGGTAGTGGCGTACATAATATTGAAAAAGAAAAGTCTCCAACTAATTTCCTACACTCGATTTCAATCGAAAACTTTTTACTATTAACGAACAAACAGTTGTAACCTTGATCTATGCAAATCCCTGACCAATTATTTGCACTTTGCAGAAAAAAAAGAAGAAAAAAATTGTACTTCACTTTCAATGCTATCCACTTGAAATATGGGCAAAGTAGTTGGCCAACAGGAAGCACTGTGGCAAAGAGCATAACAAGAAGAAGAGAAAAAGGTAAAACGAAAGCATAACAAAAGTGAAAAAAATAAACAAGAAGGGAGAACTTGCTTCGGTCGAAGTCTTTATACCTTTCATACTACCAATTTATACTATTTTATTTCGGATTAATATTCATTGTATGGGCGCTATAAGATATAGTACTCCGATTTCAATGATTTTCGGTATCAACCTTTATTTGTATATATCGGTGTACAAGACAAAATTTCAGGCTTTTAGATGCTTTTTTGTAAGCTCATCATCGTGTCGTTGTAACCCTGAGCCAATAATGTACCAGACAGTTGCATGTGCTCTAATCAAACCTTTCACTTGAGTTCGATTCACAATTCATAACCAGAGTTGCATTTTGATTAAGTCCCAGCTTGAAGCACAACTTTTCATTTAGGACTATAAGTCACAAAGTCTATGAGTGTGTGACGTAGAAAATTATGATTAAGCCGAGAGAAAAGCGAGGCAAAGGCGTATGGGTGGGAGTACTGGTCAGCCAAGCATCTAAAACGAAGTTCTCAGTCTCTAATTACAAACTCAGGTCACCTAACTAAATAATTGTTTACATTTTTTTCCACCAACAGCCAACTTCCAAATGGAAAATACAATCGAAGATATTCTGGATTTGACTGACAGCGATCTAAAGCAGAAAGGCATACGTCAAACGAGTCATCGTACTAAAATGCTTGCCAGCTTAATTGGCGTACAGGCTAAATTTCGACAGTCGCTGAATATAGAAGGTGAATGCATACATACATACGCATACATATTTGTAATTATTTAAATTGGAAAGAGTAGTTTCTGTATTTGAAATTTGTTCTTTTACATTCCAAGCCTCCACTTTGCCGCGTGCGAAGACCAAACGGAAGAATTCCTGCCCACCAGTTTATATAGACGATGATTCCAGTGAAAGAGCATTGCTTCGACACAGCACAAGCCGTAATTCGTACTCGAATTTTAAGAACAGCAGCAAAGAAACGAAGCGTTTGACTTTTGGTGATGTGACTATGATGTGAGTAAATAATATTAGATTCTTATCTTTGAAAAATAGCAAAAGAGTTGAAAGGTTTTACAAATACGAGTAATCGAGAGGATGGTAGAAGCTTTGACTTCAATGAAATGTTCGCTAACGTAATGGTCGCTGGGCAGCGTCTTTAGTCTACGTGTACCTGAGGGTGCATATAGCGGCCTCCGAATCCGAACTTATAGTCATTGCAGAGTTAGCCTTCAGCAAAGTCTCTTAACGAGCTTTACATTGAGTATTAACGAAGAGTAGAAGCCAATTCGGTGCTAAAACAGCTGAGGAAAGCAGTACGGAAGACCTGCACTATCCGCAATTAGCCCGTCTGATGACAGTTTTGTCAGCGGCAGTTTATCCAGAAACAATTATGGATGTTTTTGTCATGGTATATATTCCAACCAAACTTGTATTGGCGTTGGTATCTCCAGCGGTCTTCTTCAGACAAATACAATACGAGTATTCCCACGAAACCATATAACTGTTCCTATTCCTACAACCTTAGCCATAGTTATAGGAGAAGCCTTATCTATTTCCGATAATAAATTACATCTGGTAAAGGTTTAGTTTCCATGACAGTTTCCTATATTATTATTATTTATATTTTTAATACGGATCTTTGGGATTGGAAGTCGGTCCTCATGGCAAGAGCCAATCATTTAATTGGTTAAGATATCTCTCTGATAAAGAAGTATGAATTAACCACTAGCAATATTTCTGCTACAGAGATGTGATGGGTCATAAATTGTCTATGGAATTTTTCTCAATTGCCGAAGAAGCGATTTTAGTCGAGCTTAAACGCGTCGGTATTTTTTTTTTTTTTTTTGTTTTAGGGGACTAAAACCATAAATCTTCTCTCGTAAACTTCTAATCGAAATGCATTTTTAAAGCTTTTCCTTCGCTAGTCGGGAGAGGATTTTAACTTTACTGCTTGCCACTTGATAGACGAGTTTGTCTACAATTTCAAAGTTATAACCGTTAACAGCGGCGTCCGAGCCTAGACGCGAATGTGCAGACTATTTCCTTGGCGACAGCGAATATTTCAAATATGTACCGACTCATCTGATACGGTCTATCTTATGAAAGTATCAAGTAAAAGTTAACACCGTCTGGGAGTGACATTGCTACCGGAAGTAAAGAAAGCGAGCGCGATTTGAATTTTTCCGTAAAACCTACTCCGCTCTGACTGCACCTTTTGCAGAAAGTTGCCAATGGCTTTTGACCACTTGAACTTCACCGTGTAACGTAGCTTAGCCTCCAATATTCTGTTCAATCAAAAAGAATTTGAAGAATTTGAAGACTTAAAACTCCGGTCTAAAAACAACCTGGCAGTAAATTTGAGCAAAATGAAATTCTCAGCAAAAATATCAATGAATTTAAAAAGAGATTTCAGTGACAACAAATCCTAAGTTGGTCCCTGGGAGCTTGGTACAAAAAGAGCCCTTCAAATATTGATTTACCATTGCCATTTAATATTAAAAGTAAAAGATTTGAGTGTCACCTCTTGGACTATTGACTGCCTTTTGGCGTCTAACGCCATGCAAGGGACGTGTGGAGCACGAAATCTGTGAATGTCCAGCATTTGAGAGGCAGAGAACCTTCAGTCAGGAATGAGCAATGGGCTCAAAGGGCTTTGTAGTGCATCAGGTTACACTATGGGTTTAGTGTCGTGTAAATGAGACTCTTTAGCTCAACCAGTTCAACTTTACTTAACTATTGAACCTAGATAATTGCTAGCCTCACGTATGGCGGCCAAATCTGCTTGAGCACGCTGCAGTCAAAGGACTTCCGCTACCGGCCCTGTTATCTAGTTTTTATTTATCCGTATGAAATTATCCGTGTCTGCATATATCTCCCTCATGGTCTCTCAGTTTTAGCATAAAATTTAGCCTCTTGGAAGACTATCGTGAAGATCAAATTGTTATTTTTCACATTTAATATGGAATATATACATATATATTATATATATATTTGAGCTTTAGATATCCAGGTATTGAACACTTCGAGCTGTGCTAGACGTGCCGAGAGTTTTTATACGTATGCAGTGCTTGTTGGAGTTCGAAGTTCTGCTCAGATCAATGCCAAAAAAAGCTGTTCTCATAATGCACTCGAATCTCAGCTACGAAGCCTAGTGGTTTTCTGACATTAAATACAAATTTTCTCTTAAAACTCCATCAGGCGTTCAGATGTCCTTCTTTTGTAGGAAAAATCATTAAGAGGCGGTGCTCGGCTGAAAATGTCTTAGTCTTATCCTTAATCTCTTATTGAAACCGGTCAGATCGGGCGTCTCATATGCCGGATATTGACTTCAGACTCAACAATTGTATGTTCTGTATGTAATGACACAAACCACGTCTTTGCATGCCCCATCTAACTCCCTTTTAGCTCTGGGCCGAATCCGTTGAAACAGGCTATTGCATAAACCTCATGTTAGATGATCTTGTTGACTCAGCCTAGTCTCGCCCGCTGCTCAGCCAACCGCTACAATAATAAAAACAATAAAAACAATAACGACGACTTATGTGGCACTCAAGCAATCGGTATTGAGTAGAAATTTTTTTATGGCTATAAATATGTTGAACAAAAAATGTTTTTTATTTATATTTTTTTCCTTAAAATTATTAACAATCAAAGTGATTTATTACCTTCCAAAGAATCTCCGCGCTCTACGCAATAGTCAATGCCTACCATTTAGATTGTAGCGTCGCAGAGATATGCGCATGCGTCTTACAGATAAACAATTGAGAAATATCCTTTATACTCACAGGCTGTTTGCTGTCAGTCAAAACGAAGTGAGAACCTGAGGGTTGAATAAATGACAAGAAAACATTTGAGAAGCGGCCTTTTGACAGTATAAACGAGAAATTTCCCATTGTTGTTTTACACACCAAACACTTGATTAAGGGTGCTGCTTGTATATGCTCCTATGCTTCTAAGTATGAATATGTATATATATATATATATAATATGTGTGTGCAGCGATTACAAGCATTTAACTCTTGGGGCATTAGAACATTGGGATTGGAGTTGTAATATTGCAAATACGGACGAACAGCGCGGCCGCAGAGTAAAAGGATGCGAGAAAATGAAGAGAATACGAGTGTTGATGTGTTAGTGTATGCGCGCTGTATGAGTGCGTGTGTGTGTGTGTGTGTGATACAGCATAGACCATGCTGGGTGGAATGCGCGTATTTTGTGGCATGAAAAGCATACAGTAGCTGAGCAGGCGGACACAAAGCAAAGGAAAAAACAAACAGCAAACAACAGAAAAATACCTTTTGGGCAGGGCCAACAAGAACGGCGAGTTTTCTTCATTCAGCTACAGAACGAGCCGCAGACTACGAGTGTATACTTTGTGTAAAGAAAACGATTTTTTATACACATCAAAATAATTAAAAAATATATTTGTGAAAATGAAAATATTTTTTGTAGCAATAATTAAGTGAAAAAGTGCAACGAATTTTGTATAATAAAAATAAATAATTTTCGAAATATTAAACGCCGCATTTATTGCCTGTGAATATGGTTGCGCTGTTGAAATTTTTTCGCTAGACTACAGTGAGTATAAGCTCCGATTAGGTAGTGGCGTACATAATATTGAAAAAGAAAAGTCTCCAACTAATTTCCTACACTCGATTTCAATCGAAAACTTTTTACTATTAACGAACAAACAGTTGTAACCTTGATCTATGCAAATCCCTGACCAATTATTTGCACTTTGCAGAAAAAAAAGAAGAAAAAAATTGTACTTCACTTTCAATGCTATCCACTTGAAATATGGGCAAAGTAGTTGGCCAACAGGAAGCACTGTGGCAAAGAGCATAACAAGAAGAAGAGAAAAAGGTAAAACGAAAGCATAACAAAAGTGAAAAAAATAAACAAGAAGGGAGAACTTGCTTCGGTCGAAGTCTTTATACCTTTCATACTACCAATTTATACTATTTTATTTCGGATTAATATTCATTGTATGGGCGCTATAAGATATAGTACTCCGATTTCAATGATTTTCGGTATCAACCTTTATTTGTATATATCGGTGTACAAGACAAAATTTCAGGCTTTTAGATGCTTTTTTGACGGAGTTTTGAGCCAAAACTTCTTCTCTGAACAAATCGGTTGTATGGGCGCTATAAGATATAGTACTCCGATTTCGATGATTTTCGGTATCAACCTTTATTTGTATATACAGGTGAAGAATTCCAAATTTCATGCTCTTAGATTAACTTTTGACAGAGTTTTGAGCCAAAACCTCTTATCTGAACAAATCGGTTGTATGGGCGCTATATGATATAGTACTCCGATTTCGATGATTTTCGGTATCAAACTTTATTTGTATGTACAGGTGAAGAATTCCAAATTTCGTGCTCGTAGATTAACTTTTGACAGAGTTTTGAGCCAAAACTTCTTATCTGAACAAATCGGTTGTATGGGCGCTATAAGATATAGTACTCCGATTTCGATGATTTTCGGTATCAAACTTTATTTATATATACAGGTGAAGAATTCCAAATTTCGTGCTCGTAGATTAACTTTTGACAGAGTTTTGAGCCAAAACTTCTTATCTGAACAAATCGGTTGTATGGGCGCTATAAGATATAGTACTCCGATTTTGAAGATTTTCGGTAAAAAACTTTATTTGTATATACAGAATGCAAAATTTCATGCTCTTAGATTAACTTTTGACAGAGTTTTGAGCCAAAATTTCTTATCTGTGTGATATAGTCTTGACAAATTTATCTTCCAAAATCTCAAATCTGAAAAATCGGTCATATATATATATATTCTACAGGGGTCCGATGGTCTACATCTTCTCCTTCTGATAGTTTCACACTTCCCACCAAATTTCATGTACATGAGAGGTATAAAACTACGCTCATCTTTGAATGAGAGAGAATTTCCCAAAATCTTTTTATTTTTGTTTTGCCTTTTCCTCTGCTTCTTCTTAGTTACCACCCACTTTTTACTATCAAAACATGCCTACAGCGGCAATACAACAACGCACTAAACATTTTTCTATATATTTCTACGCTTTTCCTTGCAGTTATGAGGAACTGAATCTTCCAGCTAGCAGCACAGCGGCAACAACAACAACGGTAAGCGTGAAAAATCACTACACTTTCGAAAGTTCCACTCCAGACCTTTACGACGACGCCAAGACACCTAACAGCAACAACATGGATAACAATGGCATTGGTGGGGTTGGTAGTAGTAGTTTGGGCTGTGGTATGAGTGGCTCTACAGCCTCGATTGCCGGTCAATTGCTGCATTTACAACCACATCAGCCGCCGGCACCACCCAACAGCATGACCGTTAGTACACCGTCAAGCGAGCAGCAGGAGGCGATTGCTTTGAAGAAAGCCTTAGAGTGGGAACTCAGTTTGGATGCCAAGGATTTACGTTCACATGCCTGGTATCATGGTCCGTTGTCACGGCAACGTGCCGAGGAAATCGTACAGCGTGAGGGTGAATTTTTGATAAGAGATTGCGCTTCACAGCCGGACAATTACGTGCTCACCTGTCGCACCAAAACGCAAGTGCTGCATTTCGTTATAAATAAAGTGAGTACGATTTTAAGGTATACAGTAAATACAAATACCTACAGATGGTGTTGGTATCTATAATGAAACAAAATATTAATATTTTAACCTCTTCGTGATCAAAAGCGTCCATATTCCCTATTAAGAGGACTAAAATAGTATTCTAGGAGCTGGTCCAGAAGTCTTGGAGGTTTGATTAGAACATCGTGCAAGTATACCAGGGAGAGCTTTGCAAAGATTTAAATTTAAAGTAAACAAATTCTTCTTAGAATTCCATGGGAAACGGTGGCTTAACAGCAGAGCTTTCAAAGTGAAGCCTTGAATATATGAGCAAGACAAAAAGGGGCACCAGCATCGAGACGGTCCTCTCCGAGTCTTTGGATACCAAACAAGGTTTCAGGCAAGGGGACTTCTTATAATGTGACTTCCTTAATCTATCGCTTTAGAAAACAATATGAGGAGCAGTGCTAAATAAGAAGGTACAATTTTGATGATATTGAATAATAAACGTGTCGTGAGTTCTACTTTCTTCACAATGGATAAAGAAGCGAAACGTAGAAAGGAGAACAAAACGAAATATTTCATGCCATTGAAAAAACAGTCCCAAGTTTAGCGGAAGACTTACAATCATTTCCCCATTTGCAACGACGAAATATGGCAACCCTTGAGGCTATTACCACTACGAACTATACGGCGACATTCATATACTCGTAGTTTAGTGAATCACGGAAAAGAAGTTCTGATCTTTCGAAGTGTCATGATTTTCAGTTGGTTGACAAGACATTTGATTTGAAAGTACTCGAAGCAGTACCTGCCGGTGGATGTAAAGGAAGACATCCACTCCGTTGAAAAGATGAGATGAAGAATGACCTGGCTGCCCTTTGGAGCTCCAATTAGTGTCAAAAAGAAGAGAAGCGATGGGTCGCTGTTGTAAACTCAGCTATAGGCGGCGCCTACGCAAGCAAAAGAAAAGACGGAGGCAGGTGGTTCCCTGGAACCAACTACATATGTACTGAGTTTGAGACCTAAAGGACATTGTAGGGAATAAAATAATTAAGACTTTCTGCATTGAAGGTTGTGAGACGGATCAATGTGAGATGAAATGACTTATCGGCTTGTAAGACCGTCAAGAGTATACGAGTACACAGCGATAGCGAAGGCAACATGCGTCCAATAATATAAGTGGCAAATGTAGGAAATAAGGGAAGCAAATACGAGTACGATTTTAAAATAACTGCACCGTTTCTGTTCATTCTTTCTAGAACACGACTTATCTACCTCGGAGTTTCGATCTCTTTGAATCTGCTTACGAGTATGGCACTACAAAGTATCAACAGTTTTATATAAGGTATTTCAGCCAGCCAATGGAGCCTAAGCTTGACTAAATATTCACCTGAGTAGTATCTTGTACAATTCCCGAGAAAAATAGATTCTGGTAAAATCTAAAAGGCTGTGGAAATCGACGTTGAAAAATTTCAAAAGCTTCTCCCAGAGGTCCCAAAGTAGGCTTTTCCCACGATAACTGCCCCAGACGGTCTTCCAGAAGTCCAAACCGGAAATCTTCATAAAGGCGTCACAGTTATGGCTTAAAGTGCTGGTTCACCGAACCTTCGTATCGAATGCGCTCAGAGAGCAGGAGTGCAAGTTGAGTTCGTTTGGTTGTGATTGCAGCTTACTTTGTGTGGTACGTGTGGTAGCACAGAAGAGACTGCGAACAGATTTCGGTGCATAAGCTGTTCTGGGACATTAGAGAGAAGTCTTCTGTCGATTTTGTGATGAGATTTTCACGCTGGAATAACGGAATATGATAGCACGTTTCGGGCTCCCCAGTTTCAGCTCTGTTAGAAAGATATGTTTGGCTGCAGTGCCAAAGATATCATTTTAGGATACACCTTACGCGCTCACTGATGTGTGTACGTCGCAAGAATTGACTTGTTTCGTGGTTCAATTGTATCTGATGGACGTCGCTAATAACAGCCTTAATTTTTAAAAAGAAAGGGGACACTTCCTACTTAAAGATGAGGTGTATGATCTCAGATCGTGGTCCTTAAAATGTTTACTATTGGGTTTATCATATCAGGTTTACTGCTACTTTTTACGGAGTTGATTTGTTATGTGATGGATCCGCGTTCAACCTCCGAATAGTTTGTTTTCTCACTTAGGCTTCCATTGTTCACTGCCAAGAGGATACAGGATCTTAGACAGGAAGCATTGAGCTGCCCGATGTCCCTTTTTGGCAACTCTCTTCACATTTCATGAGTTTATGCGTTTGTACACATTTTCACTGGGAAGAAGTTCCGTGAACATTTGTCACTTAAATTATAGAGAAATAAAATTGTGATATACTCGTATGTGCTCCATTTTAATTTACCAATACTTTCGATATTCCTTTATAGATTCTTTTACAACCGGAGACAGTCTACGAGCGCGTACAATATCAATTTGAGGAGGATGCTTTTGATGCAGTACCAGATCTTATCACATTCTATGTTGGCTCGGGTAACTACCATTTCAGTTGTTGTATTTCTGGATTTTATAAGCCTAACTAATGTACTGTTTCTACCAGGTAAACCCATATCAGTAGCTTCGGGCGCACGCATACAGTATCCCTGCAACCGCACATATCCTCTATCATTTTACGGCCATAAAATTGTTGGCAATCACTTGCACACTCAAATGCTGGCCGGCATAAGAGGCGCCAGTCCACTGAACTCACCACTAAGTCATAATGGAAATTTCCGCTTTGGTTCCGGCATTATAACACCGCACGTGCAACCGCAAGCAGTGCACAGCCCTATGTCATCACCGCCGCGTGTAAAACGTGAAATTCCACCACGTTTGCCGTCGAAAAAGCAACGCTCCCAATCACTAACACCAGCACATGCCACGCCCACTAGCGGTGTGCTGCAAACGCACGCAAGCGAATCTTGCTCCAGTGCTGATGGTATTATACAAGCTACACCGGTGGCGTCTACCGAGATTGGCGGCAATGCGAATGGCTTTCGTGATGTGGGGCGGCGTTTAAGTAATTTCGAGAAAGAGGTGCTCGCTAGCGAGTCATCACTGGTGGTCGGTGAAAATATCAATTTGCACAGTCACTTGGAACATTTGGCGCAAACGGGTAAACTACACGGTAACGGTTTTCAAACAATCGCGCGCTGCTCGATAGCTACCAGCGAGGTACTAGATCATTTTAAGTTTACTACACACTCGTTGCCACGACCCAATACGAATAACTTTCGCGGCAGCAGCGTTATGCGTATCTCAAGTTTGGCGCGTGATTTCGGCTCAGATGCAGTTGGGCTGAGCACCAGTTTAGAGGGCAGGCAAATACCCGAGTTACCCGAAAAACCACCTAGTCCGCCACCGAAGCCGGTGCGCGCAAATAGTCAAACGCGTAAGGAGAAGGAGCAACAGCAGCAATTGGCAGCACATCGTGCCGGTATTGCGGCCATCGGTTATCATGCCAGCGGTTCGGATTCCGGCAATGGCTCTGGTGATTCTGTGCAAAGCTCAATACCTGGTGATTGTAGCAATGAGCTTGCTCAGCATCGTGGCGTGATAATAAAGAATCCGCGTTTTCTAAGTAATTCGACATCGTCGGCGACTCTGAAGAGTCTGACAGAGTTTGATGCGATTGCTGCAGAAGAACAGTTGTTTACAATGGAAATACCCGAGTTCAAACCGGTAAGTGAAGGGGGAAGTTCATTTCATGTTAATCCAATTAGGATACCTGCGCAGTTTGGTGGGAGGATACAAAGCTAACATTTTCGGTTGAGTAGCCAAGTGACGCCCAGGCTTACTTTAAAACAAAAAGAGACCTGTCGACATATACAATGTCTCTGATTGCAGTCCCATAGCCCATTTACTAGATCTCCATACTTTCTCTTCACTGCTTATAGCAGACGTAGACGTAGGTGAAGCTTCGTAAATTCCCCAGCTCTCCAGACCTGGTCTCGACAAGCTTAGCAACCGACTTCCACCGTCCAATAATCTCTTTCAAATCTCCATCAAATTTTCTCCCAACTGCTATCAGTTGCTTGAGAGGTCCTCCCAATAAGGAATACTACTGAGTCAAGATTTATTAAGCTGACTAAGCAGAGACATAGCGCAGATGGCATGAACTATGCCATAGGAGTCCTATATGACTCAAAATTTTTTAAAATAACGTATACTTAAACTCATAACCACCTAAATTCGACCTCGGCAAGCCCACAAACCGATCTATTTAGACAAGCTCTGCAATAACCACTTAGAAAACTCTCAATTTTCTTCCTGCATCACCTCAGTTAAGAACACTACTGCGGTAAATACTAAGCGAAGATGAGCTGATGAGATGAGATGAGCCTACTAATGAGAGACATGACATAACTCATGAGCTTAGAAAATGTAGGCACCCAAACTCAAAACTACGGAAGAAGAGTAGAGCACAGGGCTCAATCTTTCTTCCCAGAGGGATACTTATTTACTCTGGCAGGTTTTTCAAAAATATAAGACCGAAATTTTCTAAGTTTCTTTATTGCTTATTCTCTCTTAAAAACCAAATCAACTGTTTATGGAATAAATATGGATAAGGACCAGGGCTCTGGTGGTAAGGCAGTTTCTTTTGCTTCTACAACCTAGCTGCTTTAAATTCCTTTTTGCGATCTAGTTCTGTTGAATTTTAACTTCTATCTCTCTGTCTCTCTCTCTCTCTTCCTCTGTTTTGCAGGTCACCAAATTCGATTTCGAAAACTTCATCACACTACTGCTACCATCGGTGGACAATAAACCGCTAGATGGCGATGCGCTCACCACATTTAAAATGATGTTGCTTGAATCGGGACCAAAAGTGATTGCCGAACACATAACACGCATCGATATAGGACTATTAATCGAAGAGTTGCCCGACGATGAGCAGCGTAATGTCTTGGATTGTTGCGGTTTGGAGATGCTAACACTGCCATGTGGTAAAGTTTTTCGTGCCGATTTAATTGAGCGTACACAATGCATGAAACTGATGGTCGCAGTGACAATACTCACGTGTCAAACAGATTTGGATCGTGCCGAGTTGCTCAGCAAATGGATACAGATTGCGGTGGAAACAAAAACAGCTTTGGGTAATCTCTTCGGTTTCTGTGCCATAATGTTGGGTTTGTGTATGCCACAGGTATGTAGTAGGAAAGAACTCTAATTATTTGTGCATGTAGCTAATGCATGTTCTTTTGCCCGCAGATACAAAAGCTGGAGCAAGCCTGGCACATACTGCGCCAAAAGTACACGGACAGCGCATTTACGTTCGAAGCGAAGCTGCGTCCCACCTTGATCAGCATGAATGAGTGCTCCAATCCACAAGCGCCAAATACTACCGTGCCGCATGTGCTGCTCTATGCGCTGTTGAAGGATCGTCCGATTATCGATATTATCGGCATAAACATGGTCAATATGGAGGAACGCTGTTCACTCTACGGCACTTGCATTACCGCATGGGAAGCTAAAGCTGATGATTTTGGCATGACAATTAATTTTCTGCACTTAGACTCGGCACGTCAATTTCTCAGAAACCTAACGCTCTATAGAAAGAATGCTAAAATTTTGCTAGAAGAGTCTAGTCAACGCCTGGATGAGTTGCTTAGTGATGCGTTTCGGTGAGTAAAAAATATTGGACGAGTGCTTAAGTTCGTGCCCGATTTCAAGTGCAAACTAAAATTAAAATTTTTTGAAGAAAGCGCTTTTATTAATCAATTTTGTATTCCCATCATGTTCGGCAATCCACTCCCAACGTTCAACCAATTTACGAATGCCTGATTCATAGAATTCGCGCGGTTTCTCGTTGAAAAAGGTGTCAAGGTGGTTTTTGACGTCATGATTTCCCAATTCATCTCCTTCAGTTTGGCCAGGGTCGGTTTTGCAACATGTGGCCTGGCGTTGTCATGATGGAAAAGAACTCCTTTGCGATTGGCCAAAATCGGACGTTTTTCATCAATTGCTTTCTTCAATTCGACCAATTGCTGACAATACTTGTTGGCAGTGATCGTTTCTCCAGCTGGCAAGAGCTCAAAATAGATCACGCCTCGGATATCCCACCAAATGCACAGCAGTACCTTCATCGGATGCAATCCACCTTTCGACATCGGTTCCGCCCCTTCGTGTGCCTGTTTCCATGTTCTTTTGCGTTGAACATTGTTGTACAGGATCCATTTTTCATCACCAGTCACGAGCCGATCCAAAAAAGGTTCGTTTTTGATCCGTCGAAGCAAAGAAATTGCTGTTGACATACGGTCCACTTTGTTTTTTTCACTCAACTGATGTGGCACCCATGTATCGAGCTTCAAAGTGTACCCAACCTTTTTTAAACGACGAAACGCAGTTGATTTGTTGACGTTCAATTCACTGGCAACCTCTTCCGTCGAAATACGTGAGTTATTCGCAACTAAAGTCCTTAGAACATCGTCATCAAGCTCAGAAGGCCGTCCACTGCGAGGTTGATCTTCGAGGTTAAAATCTCCAGAACGAAATTTCGCGAACCATTTCTTTACTGTGCGGAGTGCTGGAGCACGGTCCAAATAAACTTCGCGAATATCTTTAGTTGCAGCGCCTACTGTTTTTCCTTTGCGGAATTCGTATAACATAATATGACGCATATGATCTTTTTCGTTGTCCATCTTCCATGCGTCTTTTCACTAAGCAACTCAAATCAAAATGAAGTTATTTTATGCTTGATTTACAGTTCGGACTGTCACCTTTCCAACGATATATAATATGTATATGTTTCTTTCACGAGCGCCACTCTCAAACGATTCGAACGGCATCCAGCGGAATCGGGCACGAACTTATGCACTCTCCAATATTTATCATATAATAATATTATTATAAATAACATTTTTCTCTTGATGACAGCACCGAATTTCATGTGAAATTTCTATGGGGCAGTAAGGGCGTCACCGCCACGCCAGAAGATCGTCATTCGAAGTTAGAAAAAGTGCTCGCATTAATGGCGGATAAATTCTGTAGTGTTGACTGCAACAGTGCAGCTGCCTAAATAGATGTGGAAAATATGCTGTAAATATGCGAACCTACTTACATATATAGTATAGATATATAATATATATATACATTTATACTTTTATATGAATTAGAAGCGATATTAGGATATAAACTTAGGCATTAACGTGGAAAATTTTTGCTAAAGATGCACTTTCTATCAACTAGCGAAGGTAATGACTAGCGATAATCAGCGTAGATGTGGATTAGTAAAATATATCCATAGCTTACAGATCTATCATTTACTCTTAAGCTAGTTAAGCAAAAATTTCATAATTATCTAACCAGACGAAGTATTTATAGTCTGCAAAATTGACCTCGCCCCGATTGAACGCCTTCAGCTAACCGCCTAACCGTTTGAAGTTCGAGATTAATCCCACAGTCTTTCCCTTTTATTACTGTTTATCATTGTAAAAGTCAATTTATGGAAGAACTGTAGTCCTTTCATTGGACTGGAAGCATAGTTGGAATCATAGGAATTCGTTGGATAAGGACTTACTCAGCTTTAAATAAGTCTTTGCTGTTCATCCCTCGAATCACGGGCAATCGCGTACCGTAACAAGTTTTCGGCATTATAATGCTGTTAGTGGCCTGGCAGATAATGACGTGAAGTCCACGCAGCGAATATTTTTTTAGGGTTACTGTAGAAACGACTCACATCTACATTCTCGACTGGTTTGCATCCTGTAGTAACCCTAAAAAGTATTCGCTGCGTGGAATTCACCTCTTTATCTGCCACGTCACTAACAGCATTTTAATGCCGAAAACATGATTGCCCGTGATTCGAGGGATGAACAGCAAAGATTTATTTAAAGCTGAGTAAGTCCTTATCCAACGAATTCCTATGAATTAGAATGTAGATGTGAGTCGTTTCTACATTCTCGACTGGTCTGCATCCTGTAGGAACCCTAAAAAGTATTCGCTGCATGGAATTCACCTCTCGACTGGTCTTCTTCCAGTAATATTTTTATAGAATTTGAGTTGCTGATTTTGCAGCGCGGACCTCTACAATATGAGCAGGACACCTTAAGCATTCTTCTGCATGCACTTCTTGCGTTTGCAACATTCTGAGACACAATGTGACTACAACCGAGGCTTGACCTTCTAAGAGCAGATATTAGTCAAGTAAATCATACTTTAAAAATAAGAAAGTAAAAAAAATTAAGCATAAATTTGCTTACTAAAAAATAATAATGATAAAAGAGCTCCGTCTAATTGCCAACGAGTGAGTCATGACATGACAAGAGTCAAAGTATAAGCCATCTATTGGGTTATCACATTGATTGCAGCTCAGCGTCATCTAATATTCATTTCGTTAACTCCTCACCGTGAAATAGTGGGTTTCCAACTTTTAATATAGAGTTTTCCAATATGAGGTGTAATTTTTATATTCAAGGAAATTTTTCCCTTTAAAAGATCGATGGTTTCGTCTTGTTTAAAATATCGTGGTCCAGAACAATACGATCCAATTCCAGCCATACAAAATGATTCCATGACAAAAGGTCCACAGGACTATAAGTCGCACCAAACAGTTACACGTTGAGAATGGAGAGACTGCTTAACAATAAAGCTGTTATTTTCCAAGCCGCAGATCCGAGTAGTTTTGCTTATTGACGTAACTGTCGAGGTAGAAATGGGCCGCATCAGTTTTTTCGACGAAATCTTTATAGTGAATTTTAATTTGTTGAATCGCGTATCGTTCTATTCTCGTCAAATGTCAAAAAAATAAAGCTTAAAAAAGAAATAGCTGGCTATTCAAAATAATACTACTTATTAGAAAACCCTTTATATGTAATCTATATATTGTATATAAAAACCTTCTACTGTATGGCTGACGGTTCAACCCACAATCTAAGCCACTGATTGCAGAAACGTAAAACTTTTACGTTGTGTTCTGCATGTGCATCCGTTATGAAAGGATTTTCCGTGGAATTGCTCTGCATACGATCTATTCAAATATATTGAACTTATTTTAAAAATTTTCTATTCATTCACATGAAATTTGGTCCACCGGTAACTCTTTGCTTAAATTGACATGTAGAACACTCTTTCCTCCGGATCGACAAGTTTTCATTTATCGTTTGATTGGCATAAACTTGTATTAATATGGAGAGCACCTTTTCTTTCGGGACGTGGGCCTGAGATCGATTCGGGGGTTTTGCTTAGTATGCCAGCTTCATATGGCTCATTGCCAAGATCAATGTCTGCCGTACTCTGCTTTCTGCTTCAGGAAGTGAGCGCGACACGGATCTATACGGAAAAATCGCGTTTATTGTTCGATTTGCTTTAAAACACTTAATGAAAACAAAGTCGCGCATATAAACATATATATAAGGTTGTCAAATATCTCCCTTCCGCCTTTTTGCTCTTCATTCAATGCTTTATAAAAAGTGTTACAGTGATCGGATTTAGTTAAAATATGCGCCGTTTTGTTCGATGATCTGTTTCCATCTAGACCGCAACAGTCGTCACAGGTCTTCCGCCGGCTAGCTTATCTACGGTGTCGTTTTCACCGGCTCTGAATCGTCGAAACCATTCCTCCGCGGTTCGAAGTGATAGAGTACCATCCCCCAAAACACCATTAATCTCACGGAACGTTTCTCTAGCGGATTTGCCTTTAACGAAGGAAAACTTTAAAATAGCGCGAATTTCGGCGATAGTGAACTCCATGTTTACACGTCTATAACTGTTGAACGCAATATCCAAACTTATCATGCATATCGTTGTTTTGTAGGTTATGTCGAGACCTTTCAAATTATGTATAGCGTTGCCAGATACGAGCTCTGTAGCGCTTTGTACATAGCCGCGAAATTCAAAAGACAAAAAAGCGGAAGGGAGATATTTGACAACCTAATATAAATATATTATATATATTTTATAAGTCAAATTGTAAAATTAAAACTTAACAATTTGCGGTATATCATTAAGAAAATTTTAAGGAAGAACAAGAAAAATAGTTCCAAAGGCACTAATTCCACATTTACTCTGAACTCAACTCAAGCACACCAATTTAGTAAGGAAATTATATCAAGTATAAATTACAAGTATTATAACTGTAATCTTTTGCATTTCACTATCTACAAAAGAACAACAAGTAGGTTAGGGAAATAGTTGGGAGACTAAAACAAGCGTGCTGAAAGGGCAGACGCGACTGGAGATTGTTGTAGCCAGAGGCATGAGAAGTTCAAAATACATGCAGTTTCGACTTGACTTCATGAAAATTTTGAAAAAGTTCTACAATAATTAATTTTGGCATAGTTGTAAAAGAAGAGCTTTGTGATGACCAACTCAAATCTTTAAAGTAAAGTCAGGCGAGTATAACAATGGTTTTCTCTTTTGAAACATAATCGATCGGTAGTATCAATTTGCGACTTCTTTCAATTAGAATCCTTAAAAAATGAGATTTTTCAAACATTTCTTCACGACGAGACTTTTAGCTTTATTATTTTGAGCACTTGTACACATCTTATGTCAGTTTTGTAGAGTAGTTAGCGATATGTCATTTATAAAAATAACAGTTTTTGAAGCTCCCCTCTGAAAAAAGGCGTTTTGCCTTGCATTTCTGAAGTGAATAATCTGAAATGAAAAAATCAAACGCACTTCGTTAAAGTAAAACTACTAAATCCCGAATAGTTTTCAATGCCTCAAAAATATCGCATTCCGGCCTCACACTCAACGACGTATTACACACTGGTTCCGTTCTTCAAAATGACTAAATGCTCATTATTCTAAAATGGAGATTATATATAAGTATGTATTTAACGGCGACATTGAAATAATGTACCGCCAAATATACTTCCATTAGGAAGACCAAAACTTCCAACGCATTCTATTCCGTAGAACCACCAATAGTGCGATAGAAGACTTTAAACTAAAAACTGTAACGTTCGGTGTCAATCTTTTGAATTATTAAAGGGTAAAAGCCAAGATTTTTTTTTTGACGAAATGTTGGCTTCTCAGAAGAAAAATTCAATTTTTCTCCATAATTTTGGTGTTGCAAAAATTTGAAACCAATCGGTTCAGCCGACTTGAGAAAAACGTGGCGCCTCACCGTTTTACCGCTTTCAAATGCTCCGACTCATCATTACGGACCCGCGTGTAACTTCGAAAATAACAGTCGCATCGACTGGAAATTTTCAGAGTATTTACTTGAATAAATGCACATAACAAAAATGAAGATTAAAATTTTTTAGCGTGCTCTAGGGGCTTTCGTTAAATAAAAAAAAGCATTTCTCGGATACAGTTCCAATTTTAAGAGAATATTTTTTAAATATTTTATATCAGAGTATTAAAAAAAATAAAAGAAAATGGCTGCCTTGAGAATCTCTTAAACAACAACCAACTTCATAGTGAACTCGTAAGACCTACCGGAAAATAGTTGAATATTAAAAAATCGAAGCGTTAAAACGACAAAAAAAATGTTGTTCAAAGCTACCGAAAATTCTTAAAAATTTAACTAATATAATTAAAAACATTAATACAGTTCAAACTCCTGCGGGTTAGAGGTTTAAGATTTCACGCGAGGTAACGCATGTCGATCGCGAGAGCTGGCTAAAATCCAATATCCACCGCAACAGCCGAGTCTTTATACAGCACATACCCTTTTTATTATACGGGCAAATTAAAGCTGAGAATAAAAAGTAGAGTGCAAAAGAATACAGCTTACGAAATCAACTTTTAGACCAGTATTGTAGTGTTTAACAGTTTTGACGTAAAATTTATTTTCATAAGTTACGGTGTGTTTTGGAAAATAAAAATTACGATGAATGAAATTTGTGTTAAAAATTATTTGCGTAATTTAATTATTTATTAAATTAATTAATTTTTTTTTTTAATTTAATAACTCTTTACCTCAATGAACAAGAGCATTCAACTTGAATAAATTTCTTTTGAAAAATTAATCAAATTATTATATTATATAATCAAAACGATTTGTACATAATTACATAACAATAATTATGAGTTTTTGTGTTCATAAACGGTATTACAATTGCTTAAGGGGCACACCTAGTGTAATGGCCTAAAAAAGGCAATTTTTGGGAAATTTTATTAAAAAAAAAATACTTTATCAATTATTTCAAAATTTTAAAAATATAATTATACATGTTTCAAGAATATATAGTGATGTTTTTGAAAAAAAAAAAATTAAATATTTTTTAAGTTATAGTCGATCTCTACAGTGCTACAGTGATTCCGGCCTTCTAAGTGGATGAAATCTAAAAAAAATTCTCAACTAGATAATATTGTCTGTAGAATGAGCTACGATATAAAAAAAAAATCAAAAATTGACAATATGGCGGCGTTTTAAAAATAATAGTCGAATTTCGCCCAAAATTTTGGTCGTTTTTGGCCTGCCAAAATTTGATTTTTTGATCAGATCAATAATCGATAGTTTATTGTACGGAGAACTATATATAGAACATGTAAAAAAAATTCGATAGTGCTCAGATTATTTGTTTTTGAGTAATCACTGCAGCAAATTCGGAAAATGCTGTTACGAGAAAAACACGTTTAAACATAAAATGATCGTTTTCACTCGCAGCTTATGCGACTCTGTAGCTGCCGAGCGGCTGCTCTTTAAATTGCTATAATTCAAAAACTATTTGAGATATCGATTTGAAATTTTAATATGTTATTTTTAAAGGTGTAATCTACCGAAATACTTGTAATAGATGGATTTTTTTGAAATTCCACACTAGGTGTAGCCCTTAAATATTGTCGAGGAGTTTAGTGTAGTTACTATAAACAAGAGTCTATGTACATTAATAATAATTGTAATTTTTATTTATTTTTTTTTAACAGAATTTTGAAAAAAAGTATATTAAAAGTTATTCATTTTTATATATAAACAAAATTTCAATATTATTTTTATTTTATTTTTATTATTATATTTGTTCAAAATTTAATTAAAAAGCAAAATTTTAGTCTCGCCATTTGAATTGAAACCCACAATTTATGCTTAACCATTGTTTTATTCTTCAGCACCACATTGTTTTTCATTCTGTAACTACCTCAAAAATAGTGTTCAGCTTTTATATTGTGTTAGAAAATAAATATTAAGTGAAATAGTCATTGAAGTGTGCACGCATATTGGAATATACTGTAGATTATAGATGCAAAGAAAAAGAAAATTATTATTATTTAAATATGCACATACATAATGTATTATATGGGCTCACTAAATGCATTTAAAAAATAAATGGAAATTTATTTAATATATGAGGGAAGTGAAAAATATTGCATTTAAACCTAACAACGCTAAATCATTTACTATAAAAAAAGCTATATAATAAATACATAAACACATTTTATAATGCAAATACGTCAAAAATAAATTAAAATTAATTTTAATGCATTCTAATGTAATATATACGAGTATATATCAAATTATTATTATTCTGAAATATGTATACCACAAACAAATGTTGTACCTTTTAGTTAATAATTAATTCTTATACGCTATCATTTGTGATTTACCTACACCTAAGCATATTCCAACGAACATTCAAAAAAATCTAATATAACTTAATTAAATTTAATATAAAAAAAAAATTAAAAAAAAAATCTATTTGCTACTTCCATTTTTGGTAAAAAAAAAATTCGCTCTAAATGAAAAATAAATTATATTTACTCACTACCAACTTCCACTATAACTAGTTACCCAAAAATACTTTAAATTTTACACACAATTATCAAAAATATGTTAATTTATGATATATATTTATGATCAAAAAGAAAAAAATGCTTGTAAACAAGTACACATAAATTTGTGTGTACACAGGGAACTCTAAAATTATATACTGGGTATAAATAAGCAGAACTATTTGTGCGTCAAAAGCATATTACTATTAAAATATGATATTATTATACATACATACATATATACTTACATACATATAATATGAATATAAAAAAGGAGATATAAAACTAAAATGTATTAAATATATATATATATACTATATATAGATTGGACAATATTTTAATCAAATGCATTTAATTTATACAATTTTATATTGCAAATATAAATTGCAACCAATTAAGAAAATATCAAAATATTAAAAAATAAATACGAAATGATAAATATATTATTTTTGTTTAATTTCAATGAGAGAATAGAAAAAGACCGTTAGATATTCAAGTCGAAATTGATGTTATAAACTGCGCTGGGAGATGTAGGATGGACGGAAAAGTGGCAAGATTACGTACTCCAAGTATTTTTAGTCGTTTCTAATGCAGCGTCGAGCCACAGTTCCATTCCCCATACCTTCGTTATTTTTATTTTTCTTTTCTTTAAACTATTTTATTTTACTACACTTTGTTTTGCTTTAATTTTTGTATTTAATGTTTAATGTTATTTTGAATTTAAATTAAGCAGATTCAATAAATAAATCTCTTTGATGTGTAAAAAAAATGTTATTGAAGATAAAATTCAATTTAGTAAAATAAAATATACTAAAATTAGTTAATATTTAAAAATTTAGTTTAAATTTAAAATAAAATGTACTAAAATAAAATAACATAAAAGTAATAAAATAATTTTTAGTTTAATTTATTTTGTTTTGTTTTAACTTATTTGCTTTATTTTATTTACAAAAAAAAAAAATTATTTTATTAAATTTAATTTTATTACATTATTTTAACGATTTTAATTTTTTACTTCATTTTTTTACCTTACATTATATTTCATGTCGTTTTTTCACTTTATTTTAATAAATTTTATTTTAATTTATTGTTACAACATTTTATTTAATTCTATTTAATTTAATTGACCTTGTTTTTATTTATGTAATTCTATTTAAGTTTTTTATATATTATATTACTTATTTATTTCTTTTTAAAATATTTTGTTTCAATTTAAATTTCCTTTTATTTTAATTTAATATCTTTTAATTTTTTATTTATTTCATTTATTTTATTCTATCATATTTAATTTTTTAATTTTATTTATGTAATTATATTTAATTTTTATGCATGTTAGTTATTTATTTTATTTTAAATTATTTCATTTCAATTGACGTTTTTGTATCTTATTAAATTTATTTTAATTAAATTTCCTTTCATTTATTATTTATTTTATGCTCATTCACTATTTTTATTTATTTATGTATTTCTATTTTATTTTAACTTAATTTTATTTAATTTTTTATTTATTTAATTTATTTTATTCTATTTCATTTTTTAATTTTATTTATGTAATTCTATTTAGGTTTTTTATATATTACTTATTTCTTTTTAAATTATTTTATCTCAATTTAAATTTCCTTTTATTTTAATTTAATTTTTTTAATACGCAAATATTTTATTTAAACTTAATTTCCTTTCATATTTTTTTATTAAATTTTTTTTACTCTATTTCATTTTATAATTTTATTATTTTATTTATGTAATTCTACTTCATATTTTATTTATTATTTATTTAATTTATTTTAAATTATTTCGTTTCAATTAGAAATTTTTATATCTTATTAAATTAATTTTAATTAAATTTCCTTTCATTTATTATTTATTTTATGCTCTTTCACTATTTGTTTTTTTATTTATGTATTTCTATTTTATTTTAACTTAATTTTATTTAATTTTTTATTTATTTAAATTTATTTTATTATATTTCATTTTTTAATTTTATTTATGTAATTCTATTTAAGTTTTTTATATATTACTTATTTATTTCTTTTTAAATTATTTTATTTCTGTTTCGATTTCTTTTATTTTAATTTAATTTTTTTAATATGCAAATATTTTATTTAAACTTAACTTCCTTTCATATTTTTTTATTAATTTTATTTTACTCTATTTCTTTTTATAATTTTATTATTTTATTTATGTAGTTCTATTTCATATTTTATTTATTATTTATTTAATTTATTTTAAATTATTTCGTTTCAACTAAAATTTTTTTATTTTATTTATATTTCTTTTCATTTATTATTTATTTTATTACATTATTTCATCATTATTCATTATTTTTATTTTATTTATGTAATGCTATTTTATTTTTCATTTCGTTTCCTTTTTTGCATTTAATTTCTTTTCATTTTTTATTTTTTAAATTTTTTTATTTTATTTAATTTTTTTATTTTATTTATTTAATTTTATTTCAATTTTTATTAATTTTTTTAAATTATTTTGTTTCAATTTAAATTTTCTTTTATTTTAATTTAATTTCTTATATTTGCATTTATTTTATTTAACTTAATTTCTTTGAATTTTTTATTCATTTCATTTATTTTATTCTATTTCATTTTTTAATTTTATTTATGTAATTCTATTTAATTTTTATGTATGTTAGTTATTTATTTTATTTGAAATTATTTCGTTTCAATTGGAAATATTTTATCTTATTAAATTTATTTTAATTAAATTTCTTCTCATTTATTATTTATTTTATGCTATTTCATTATTTTTATTTAATTTATGTAATGTTATTATATTTTTCATTTTGTTTTCTTATTTACTTTTAATTTCTTTTCATTTTCTATTTGTTTAATTTTTTTATTTTATTTTATTTTTTATTTTATTTATTTAATTTTATTTCAATTTTTATTTTTTTTTAATTATTTTGTTTCAATTTAAATTACCTTTCATCTTAATTTAATTTCTTTTATTTGTATTTATTTTATTTTAATTTAATTTCTTTTAATTTCTTATTAATTTCATTTATATCATTCTATTTCAATTTTTAATTTTAATTATGTAATTCTAATTAATTTTTATGTATGTTAATTATTTATTTTATTTGAAATTATTTTTTTTTTCAATTAAAATTTTTTTATCTTATTTAATTTCCTTTCATTTTTTTTTATTCAACTTATTTGTTTTATTCATATAATTCTATTTTATCTTTTAATGTTATTTTTTTTATTTCATTTTAAATTATTTTGTTTCAATTTAAAATACATTTATTTTATTTTTTTTAAATTTAATATCTTTTATTATTTCATTCTATTTCAATTTTTTAATTTTATTTATGTAATTCTATTTGTTTTTTTTTATATATTTATTATTTATTGTATTTGAAATTATTATTTTTCAATTTAAATTTCGTTCAGTTCATTTAATTTATATTATTATACTTTATTTTATTTCATTTTATTTACATTTAATTTCTTTTCGTTTTCATTTATTTAATTTATTTAATCCTATTCAGTTTTTTTGTTTTATTTATGTATTTTTATTTCAATTTTTTATATTTAATACATTAATTTTTTTTTTTTAAATTATTTGTTTTCAATTTAAATTTCTTTTATATTATGTTATTTTATTTAATTTTTGATTAGCATTTATTTTATTATAATTTAATTTCGTTTCATATTTAATTCATATAGTTTATTTTATTCCGTTATTTATTTATTTTATTTTAAATTATTTTGTTTCAATTAAAACTTTTTTTTTAAATTACTGAATTTCCTTTCTTTTTTTATTTTTTTATTCTACTTAGTTTTTTTTTAATTTTATAATTCTATTTCATTTTTTTATATATTATTTATTTATTACATTTTAAATTATTTTGTTTCAATTTAAAATACTTTTATTTTATTTTTTTTATTAAAAATAGAATTACATAAATAAAATGAAAAAATTAAAAAGAATGAAAAAAAAATAAAAGATATTAAATTATTTTTTTCATTCTTTTTAATTTTATTTACGTAATTCTATTTGTTTTTTATATATTTATTATTTATTGTATTTGAAATTATAATTTTTCAATTTAAATTTCATTTAGTTTATTTAATTTCTTTTATTGTCTTTATTTTATTTCATTTTATTTACATTTAATTTCTTTTCGTTTTCATTTATTTAATTTATTTAATCCTATTCAATTTTTTTGTTTTATTTATGAATTTTTATTTAATTTTTTTATATTTAATACATTTATTTTATTTTAAATTATTTGTTTTCAATTTCAAATTCTTTTATATTATGCTATTTTTTATTTTTTATTAGCATTTATTTTATTATAATTTAATTTCGTTTCATATTTAATTCATTTAGTTAATTTTACTCTGTTATTTATTTATTTTATTTGAAATCATTTCGTTTCAATTTGATTAATTAATTGATAATTAATAATAATAATAATTAATTTTATTCTGTCTAAATTTATTTAATATTGCTTAATCTTATTTTTTATTAATTTTACACAAATGAACTAATTTAATTTAAGTTTTAATATTTTACTTAAATTAATTAACTTTTATTTATTTTCTTTTATTTTACTTTGTTTTATTTTATCTTATATTTTGTTTAATTTTATTTATTTTATTGTTTTAATATATTACTTTAATAAAATAGCTTTTAAAACTTTATTTTATTTCCTTTAATTTTTTTATTGTATTTTAGTTAATTTAGTGTTAAATATTTTACTTAAATCGATTAACTTTTAAAATTTTCTTTTTTAATTTATCTATTGGTTTTAAATTTTTTATTTTATTTAATTTATTCCATTTAAATTTGTTTTATTTTATTCTATTCTATTTAATATTATATTATCGTACTGAATTTAATAAATATTTAAAATTTTAGCATTTATTTGTTTTATTTGGTATTTTTTATTTCATATTTTGTTTTCTTTTTTATTTTCTCTACTTATTTTTTATTTTGTTTTAAAATTTTTCTTCTATTTTAATTCGTTATAAATAAATTTAATTTTTTTTATTTTATTTATTTTACGAACAACAATTTCGGTCACTTTGAATACACCACATACATATGTGCATCTAGAGACGTGCATATATGTAGCTAAATACTTAAATAAGTATCGTTGATATTAGTATGCCTCAAACATTCTAAACACGCTGGAAACACTGAAAGGTCACTCTCCAATTATGGACAGCTGGATACTCAAAAGAGCATTGAGTACGCATTTATAGTGAAACATTTATTTTTTATACGCTGCATTCATGAACAAACAAATATATTCTCAGTTAAATAAATTTTTTAAATTTCTGCATAATCATATATTTTTAATATTATCTAATATATATGTATACGCATACTCGCACTGATACTATTTGGTCTGTCAAGCGTGAGTGTTTACGCTAGAATCTATGCTTATCAATAATGGAGAGGCTTCAAATTGATACTCTCTTGACATTTTAGTTTGACGCCTCGTTGTGGTCCGCCACTTCAAAATTAGCTTATTTGTTTCTTTACAAGTAATATTTTTGTCTACACCCGCTACATACATATGTACTTTATATGCACATATATTTTTTCTCCTATAAATAAAAATATGAATAAATTACTACTGGACGACGATGTACTTAGTTTATTTATCGACAGCAGTCAAGACAAGCAGTCAGTTCGGTTGAGACAACGATGTTAAAAATATTAAAATATAGATTTGTAGCTTTGTTAAGCTTTGCTTGTCTGCTGGTGAGCTTAGAAGGTTGTGCGGCTAAAGTGAGTTTGTGTAAATAAAATATTTACGAGTATAATACACAGTGCTTGTTCTTATAAAAGTGCTTCAAAAAATTATAAAAGTTTAAGTAATTAAAAAAAAAATAAAAAATAAATAAACTTAAAAATGTAGATGAAAAATAATAAAACATTATAAAAAAATAATTAAATTTTAATATTCAATAATTAATTAATTGATATTATTAATTAAACAAATTTTGTGTTAAGTGTAAGAAATCCCAAAAATGTATATTTGCAAGCAGAGGCATCGAAAGAATCGTGAAAAAGAATTTAAAAAATACGCTAAGGCAGTCTCTTAAGAACAGTTTCTTATGGAGAGCTATTATTTGTTGCAAGAAACATGTCAGTTTTTGTGCTAAAAGGAAGCTAGTACTAACTCAACGTCGCTGTACTCTGTTGGAAATTTGTCGAACACTTTCTCTAATGACTTTTTAAAATATTAAAAAACATTTTATTTACCATTTAGGCTTAAAAATTTAATTAATACAATTTAATATTTTTTTATGAAAATATCTTTTATAGAAACTACTTAGTTTGAAATTTATCTCGATACTTTTTCGGCTCATTGCTTTGTTGAATTGTTTTTGTGTTTTTTATGGAACTGTTTCACATCGTATATTTTTCTGATTAAATTTGAAATTTTTTAATTTGAAATTTTTAATTTGAAATTTTCTCACTAAATTTAAAAATGTTTAATTTAGATTTTTCTCACTAAATTTGAAATTTTTCAATTTAGATTTTTCTCATGAAATTTGAAAATTTTTAATTTGAAATTTTCTCACTAAATTTGAAATTTTTTAATTTGAAATTTTTTAATTTGAAATTTTTTAATTTGAAATTTTTTAATTTGAAATTTTTTAATTTGAAATTTTTTAATTTAATTTTTAAAAATATTTTTACTTAATAAATTATTAATTATTAAATAAATTAATTTTCAAATTAGAAATATAAATTGAATTGACCTTTAAAAAAAATTGAGTTTTGTTCAAAATGTTCAAAATACCATGGTTTTCAAAAAATTTAATTTTTTTTAATTTGCGTAATTTTTTTTTATAAACTACAGAGTTTGTTTTTTCTCAAAGTTATTCAATGTTTGCATACCGACATAAAAGATGGAGATTTTGTTTGCATGTTTTAAGTAAAACTAAGCACTCTGTGTTTTATTAAAAAAAAAATGAAGCATTTTAAATAATATTTTTTTATTTTTTTTATTTTTTATTTTAAATAATATTTTTTTTTAAAAAATATTTTTAGATCAAATCATGAATTCTGCTGAAATTAAAAAAAAAATTTATGGCGACTAAAATGTGTAGTTGATTTTTAATATTTATAAAAATTACTTCATCGCTTAAAAAATACAAAATTTTACGCTGCTAATTTTTAGAAAATTCGTAAATTTTCTTTAAAGCGTATTTGGTTTGGCATGAACAAGAAAAAATATAGTTCCACCAATATCACGTTAGAATTATTGTACACCTGACTTTGTTGGATTTTTGAACTTTTTTTCTTAATTTTATGCGACCAATTTGATTTATTAAATGCTTTTTCAGGTCATTATTCTGTTGAATTGTTTTTGGGTTTTTAGTTTTATGAAACTGTCTCACCATTTAATAACACTTGTGCTGAAAAGCCACTGGGCTAACAAAGTAAAGGTGTTTTGTTTTTGTCCAAAATCTACTTTATTCTTCAACGTAATCTCCGGCAAGAGCCACACAATGGTTACGCCGTCGCTTAAACACTTCAGTATCACTACTGTATCAAAATAGGCATCAATTATTATTCGAATGAAATCTCTTACTTGTGAGTATTTTTAAGAATTCTGCGAATATCTAGTAGTTACCTGTAGTTAAATGTGGTGAGTACGGTTGATGCGGAAGCAATTCCTAAGATAGTCCAGAAATATTACATCATACACATAACCAAATACTGCGGGCATAATCCTTATCGGTGTCTCTGGGTCATATTCGTAGTCAGTAAACCATCATTTTATTGTTGTTTCGAATGAACGAAGTCCTAATAATACTTTTCAAGCCGCTGTTTCGCTTGAACTTTTGACACCATATCTTATAATCTTATGAGTTATACTCCATGGAACTTTAACAGCTCTCTTTTGAAGGTTAGTACTAACCGAATAAATGGTGAATGCTGCTGTAAGGTTCCGTCCCAATTGCGCGATTTAATGTCTTTCGGCAACGTTACGAGATTATTTAATACTAAGCTTAGCGAGGGAAACAGAAAAGTTTTTATTAAGGAACTTAAATCGCGCGGGGATTACGGCTGGGCAGCGATAGTGGTAGTACTCAACAGACTCTTCCTCCTTGCAGCGGCGACCAAATCAATGCTCTCGGCGTGAGGTTCAAGTAAAAAGATACCTGTTTTTATACCAGTTGTTATAGAACTGGTCTAGAAAGATTAAATGCCATAATAAATATGAACAAACAACTTAAGTACAAATAATTTTGAAACCATTCATTTTTTTTTTTTGTGAAATAAAAAGAAATATTTAATAATTTTTTATGGTCAATTCCATTTATAATTTACATTTTACACAACAACTTAAATATTTTAATTTAATAATTTATTAAATTCAATTTATTTTTAAGCGCATAAATCGTTCCTTCACAATCGATCATGAGAACGATACATTCTTAATGGATGGTTTGCCGTTTCGTTACGTCTCGGGATCGTTTCATTATTTTCGTGCCTTGCCACAAGTATGGGAAGAACGTTTAAAAACAATGCGTGCTGCCGGTTTGAATGCTATCGATACGTGAGTACATACTTAAATTTATTAATTACATTAAATATATACGAGGTGTGACAATAAAGTCGTGAGACTGATGCCATACCATCAGACTGATTCGAGTACCCTCGTCACGGCCGCCTGGATGTCCTCAATCGACTCAAAATAGGTCCTTTGATCCTTTGAGCCCAAACACTGGGACACTACGAGGCCGATGTGGCACGGCGCGTTGTCGTGGTGAGGAATCCAGTTACGAGCGATGTCTGGGCGCGCCCTGTTGGCTCGTTTTCGCAATTTTTCAAGTACTTGACGATAGTGGACTGGATTTGCGGTTTGCCCCGGCAGTCCACTATTTGGATTGTGTATTTGTTTCGAGCCCATATTTGTGTGCTTAATCCATAGTAATCAATTGGCGCCAAAACTCAGATTACTTGCCTCTAACCTGGTTAATTTTTCTTATCGCGGCCGCCTCTTGGCAGAGAATGTGAAGCCCTCTAATGTGTATTTATGACATGAAATGAAAAGTCCCTCATAAAAAGCCTTCAACCGTTCGCAGGTGGCTTATTATAAACAGTAGGTCCCTGCTTTTGTGAGAAAAACATCAAGACGCATATCACAAATTGGAGGCAGAGGAGCTCGGATATTGAATAACATTAAATATATACGAGGTTTGACAATAAAGTAATGACTCTGATGCCATAAAAACTATATATATTGCGACACTGTCTGCCGTCTCCTTCAAAGGAGCTCGGATAAAAATCGATTCAACGGTTTTAAAGCGCCAATTATATTACCTGCATCGTGGTGTTCAGACACGTTTTTGGTCTAACGTGAGTAAACACGGTGCGGAATGCTTTCTAAATGTTTATTTCATATGCAATAAACTCGTTCTCTTGACATGTTCTTAAACTCTGCTTTCCCTGCCACTTTAATTTGGCGATCGTCTAGTACCATTTAACGATCTATGGCTGTGGTTTCGTCGGCAGTTGCTCTTACAGTCTCACATGGCACATAAAGTCAGTCAAAAGACTCTCACATAAAAACTGTGCTTTCTAAATTGCTGAAACTTTGATGAGTTACAAACTCTGTTTAAAACTGCGCTCTCTCGGGTCTTTTCATTACACCGAACGCGATTTTGTAAAAAATTGGTAGCAATTGGTATTAACCATATCGTCACCGAGTAGGACTACTATCTATAGGATTACAACGAATTTCACTTACTTTTAAGTAAGCCCCACCCTTACGTTGGACTCGGATTTTTTTCAGACCAACAGACCATCAATTTACCTCCAAGTTTATGACATATGCTCAGAAAATAGAGCTTCGTACGCTTCCTACTAGTAACTAAAAATAGTTTTTCTTAAAATATATATTTTATTTCTTTCGTTTAGCTACATTGAATGGTCACTGCATAATCCACACGATGGCTCCTACATTTGGGATGGCATTGCCGATATTGAACGTTTTCTAGAATTAGCCCACAGCATTGGTTTCTATGTAGTACTGCGTCCTGGGCCATATATCTGCGCAGAGCGTGATAATGTGATATTTAATTTTTATTATTTTAAAAGCAAATTTAAAACAAAAAATGTCTCTATATATTGAACAGGGTGGTCTACCCCATTGGCTCTTCACTAAGTATCCCGAAATTAAAGTGCGTACTAGTGATCCGAATTATCAGTTGGAGGTAAGCAAGTGGTATGCCCAATTAATGCCACGTCTACAAAGATATTTCTATGGTAATGGTGGACCAATTATAACGGTACAAATAGAAAATGAATATGGCGCTTTCTATGCTTGCGATGCGAAACATTTAATTTGGTTACGTGATGAAACTGAAAAGTATGTACGTGGTAATGCGGTGCTCTTTACCACGGACCAACCAAATGAGGGTTTAAAATGTGGCAAGATAGAAGGTGTACATGCCACAGTGGATTTCGGTATAGGTAATTCAGATTTTACTCTTCAAGTCAACAGTTCAGTTAAGGAAATTCCACTTTTTTTTTTTTGCTTAAAAACAGGTTCGAATTTCGATCAGCAATGGGCTGCAATGCGCAGTGTTCAGCCTACAGGGCCGCTAGTGAACTCGGAATTCTATCCCGGTTGGTTAACGCATTGGAGCGAGGAGAATCAAAGACGTGATGGCATGGAGGTGGCGAACTCATTAAGGTAAGTCCAGTGGGTTCTTATGAATTGGATAGAACACACTTCCAATGTTCAGACAAGTTGTCTACCTACCATATTCTGCATAGTTCTTTTTTTCATTTCATTCATCATTTCCGCTCTCTATCAAAATATTTTCCTCTATAATTTTTGTACTCATCTGTTCGAAATGTATTTTAACAACCATTAAGAATTAACCTAACTTTTAACTGATAGACGAATGCTCGAAGCTGGTGCAAGTGTGAACTTCTACATGTTCTTTGGTGGCACAAACTTCGGTTTTACGGCTGGTGCTAATAATTATGGCAAAGACTATGTAGCTGATATTACTTCCTACGATTATGATGCTGTGATGGATGAGGCGGGTAATATTACTGAGAAATTCGCGCTGATACGCAAAGTCATTAGCGACTTTATTGACGTGCCACATGAAGATGCTTGTAATGGTTGCATAACGACACAACGTTACGCTTACGGCAAGGTGTCATTGAAACCCATAACTACTTTACTTTCCAAGACAGGACGGACTACATTAGGACATGGCGAACCGATAAAATCCGAAAAGCCATTAACATTTGAGAATCTCGATCAGTATTCCGGTTTAGTATTGTACGAAACAGAGTTGCCACATTTAGAAATCGATCCGACTGTGCTTACAGTCAATGAATTGCATGATCGTGCTTTTGTATTTGTCGATAATGAGTTGGTTGGCACGCTATCGTGTAAAAATAATATTTCCTCATTGCCACTAAGCAAAGGTTGGGGTAGTCGTCTACAAATATTGGTCGAAAACCAAGGTCGCATCAACTATGAAACGTTAAACGACACAAAGGGTATTTTAGGTGCAGTAACTGTGGAACGCTTTAATGGTGAAAAAATGGAGCTTAAAAATTGGCTTACCACATCATTTCCATTGGAAAGTGAAATGATATTACCAATAATAGGAGCATACAAAAAAGAGCGCGCATCTGTTGATGTTATGACGAAGGGAAAAATTCTGAGAAATGGACCAGTTGTATTTCTAGGCGAATTCAAAGTTGAAAAGCTCGGTGACACCTATTTCAACCCAACGGGCTGGGGTAAAGGTGTAGTTTATGTAAATGGATTTAATTTGGGACGCTATTGGCCATTGGTTGGACCACAATTAACGCTCTATCTTCCAAAAGATTTATTGAAAGTTGGTAATAATAGTCTGGTGTTGTTGGAATATCAGCGAGCAAATTTAAATGACGAAAATGGCGAATACACCGTAACCCTCGACGATCAACCACAATTGGATAGAAATGGTGGTGTTTAAAAAAGATAGTGTTAAAAGTTTTTGTATTTTAAATAGTTTGTTGTTAAAATTTGTGTGTAATTTTGTATGTACTACAATTTGTTATTAAATAAAAAATAAGAATATTAAAAGGTATGAAACCAATTTATATATCATTTGAAATATAATTAAGAACGCCGGACAATACTCTTTCTTAAAGCTACTATAAAAAGGAAAGAAAAATCAGGTCCATAGTAACAGCTTAGCACTGCCCTTATCTTATCTTTATTCCACTTCTGAAAAAGTTTTTATCTTCAGTTTTAGCGGTAGCATACATCTTTGAGCTCGCCTGGGCACATGTGAGTATTTTCTAGACAAGTCTAGAGCAAACATGTACAAGAAAATAATAATTGAAGACAAACTCACGAGAGAAGTTTTAAGAACTTCAGCTTCTTATTATCATACACAAGAGTTAACCAATTAAAAGAACGGTGGTAGTATCGTACATCCTATACCCATATGGAAACTAACTTACCTGAGGTTAATCCAACTGCTACACACTCTACTAGTTCACTAACAAAGTTATCACTTAGTTTTGGTTTTTCTTTTTATTAAATTTAGTCGTTTTGCAGATTACACATATTGTACGTAATTTCTTATTGCATATTCTAGCTAAGTAAATTATTGTAAGAAAATAAACAAAAGAATTTACAAAATTAAAAAAAAATTAATTTAGAATGGACTAAACAAAACTCATTCAGTTTTGTAGACAATTTTTACATATAATTTGAATACGAATTTATAAACTAGTTTATTATCCGCAGTATACTATAGTATAATTTCTTTTTCATAAATTAATAAATATATATATATTTTTTTTAATTTTTCTTCGACATTTACTTGCTTACAAGTAAATGCTTGGCAAATGAGAGAAATATATCGGATATCATTTTACATACTACATTATAATATTTATGCTATCTAAGATGTATTTATTTAAAACATATAGAAAAAACATAGCTGAATATTAGTTAATTATTATTTATTTTTATAAAAATGGAAGCTTGATAGATAGCGAGAAACAAGTTCTAAATAACATTTTAAAACAAAAAGTGTTTTAGTTGTGGAAAACAATTTTATCGATTGTCTTGGAATGACTTTTTTGGATTTCTATATTTCACTTCATATATTTATAATTACAAAAATTAATTAGTTTTTGATAAAATTACAAATATATGCGGTTTATTTGTACGTAAATGTTTTAAAAGGCCAAGACTTAGAACAACATTTAAGGAATATTAGGCTCGGCTGAAATCGAACATTAGATATCCAGCTGGTTTGTTTAAATACATATACATATTAGATGATTGTAAACTTACATATGTATATTTGATAGAACAATATATTAATTTTAGGTGTAAGAAATTATTATACAGTTAGCCACGTTACAACTGAATATTTGTTACTTCTAACAAAGAAAATAATACAATTGGGGCAGTTTTGAGTTAAAATGTTGTAATAATAATAAAAACTAGTACAAAACTATGTCGTAAAATTAGTATAAAAAATATTTATATTAATTAGTAATAGTCTAGTACGAAAATCTATAATATCATTGTGAAATTATAATAAAACCATAAAATACGCTTTTACTGATTGAGTCGATTTCTACTTATAAATAAATCGAGGCTTTTGTGTTTAAAAAAATTAAAGAAATAATAATATAAAGTATTTATTAATAAAAATTCCACTTCTGATTAAGATAAAATGAGATTCTTTATACATACATATACAGTGCTGTGCAAGACGAAAGCAACAAATCGAGTGAAAAGAAATTTATTTGTGCTTTTAAGCACACTTTAACATAAATGTTATATACAAATACAATAGACCAGTATGTACTCTAAAGAAAATACAATTTGTTATAGAAATCTGTTATTCAATCGACTGTAGCGTCCGCATTGTACACTTCAAATGATAAAATAAAGCAAATAGAAAAAAAATTCAAAACTTAGTATATGCTTAATATAGTAAAATAAGATTTTTATCGTTTGAAAACTTGTTAAACAGTTTGAAACAACTAAAAATGTTAGTTGAATATATTTATAGCTTAATTTACGAAGAAAACAAATTCAGATAGGACGGTAAAAAACTCGCTATGCTCGTTTTTAGATCCCAGTATGGTAGGTAGCTAAATTAATAATATCAATTTAAGTCTAAAGTTGTAACAAATGCATGTTAAATAAGTTTTCAAACAAGAAGTTAGTCCACATTTAACGTAAATTATGTTTACAAAAAATTATAATAATTATTTGATTACTTTTATTATGCACAGCACTATAGTAGTTTAATTATGTATATGTACATCAAACTAAGTATTAATGAAATAATAATAATAATAAGGTTGCTTAAGGCATATAATCAAACTTATTTGTTATGCACTCATTATCAGCTATTTTAACATAAGAATTATTATTAGTTGGTTATACTATTTTAAATATTTGACTAATTTTCGCTTGAATATTTTATTTTGATTTATTTTAAATTTTTTTTATTGTATCATAATTTATTTTGATTTCTTATTCTATTTTAGTATTTTTTTTAGTATTCTTTAGCTTATAAAATAGATGAATTTAATTTCGACTAATTTTATATATTCTAATTTTATATTATTTTTAATTTTAATTTAATTTTTTTTTATTTTGTTCTGATTTTATTTGAATGCTTTTTCATAGTTTTTTATTTATTTTCTTTTTAGTTTTTTTCTTTATTATTTTTATTATTATTATTTCCATATTATTGTTATTGTTATTATTATTAATATTATTAATATTATTATTATTATTAATATTATTATTATTATTATTATTATTATTATTATTATTATTATTATTATTATTATTATTATTATTATTATTATTATTATTATTATTATTATTATTAATAATATTTCTTTATTATTATTATTATTATTAATATTTTTTTATTATTATTATTATTATTATTATTTCTTTATTTTTAGATATTAATATATTATTTTACTTTATATTTTATTTACCTTATTTTATATTTTTCATTTAACTGATTTTATTTCTTATTTATTTTAATGATTTCATTTATATATATACTTTTCGTTTTCCTCTTTAATTTTTATCATTTTGTTATCGTTTTATTTCATTTATATTTTTGATTTTCTTTTGTTTAATCTTATTTCATTCAAGTATGTTCCGTTATCTTGATCTCATCTTTTAACTTTTGGCTTATAATTTTAAATTTTTTATTCCACTTTGTCATTGTAATTTATATTTTATTTTATTTAATATTTTATTTTATTTATTTTTGTGTTATTTATTTTTATTTTATTTATATTTTTTTATATAGATTTTAAGTCACTGCATTTATTTCATTTTTTTTTTTTTCGATTTTACTTATTTCGGTATTGTATTGTTTTATTGTGCTTCAGTTTTTTAAATTTATTTGATTTTCTTGTTATTTATTTTGTATTAATTAATTAATTAATTATTTCATTTTGTTTTATTTCATATAATCTTGTTTTTATTGTATTTATTATTATTTATTTTTTTAGCTTTTATTAATTATAATTTAATGCCTTTTAATTTATTTTTATTCAGTGTAATTTAATTTTATTACGATTTTAAATCATTTTACCTTGTTTTATTGAACATTCATTTATTTTTTATGTTTTTTTCTTTAATTTTACTTTTTCGGTATTATATTCTTTTATTGAGCTTCAGTTTTTAAATTTATTTAATTTTTTAATCTCATTAAATTCATTTGATTTTCTTGTTATTTATTTTGTATTAATTAATTAATTAATTATTTCATTTTGTTTTATTTTATTTAATTTTGTTTTTATTAAATTTATTTTTTAAGCTTTTATTATTTTTAATTTAATGCCTTTTAATTTATTTTTATTCACAGTGTAGTTTAATTTTATTATATTTCATTACGATTTTAAATAATTTTACCTGGTTTGAACATTCATTTATTTTTTATTGTGAAGTCTTTTTTTTAAATTTTATTATTTTTTACTTTTATCGAGTTTTAAAATTTATTTTATTTTTTATTCTCAATAAATTTATTTGATTTTCTTGTTACTTTTTTTTGTATAATTAATTAATTAGATATTTTATTTTGTTTTATTTCATATAATCTTGTTTTTATTAAACTTATTTTTTTAGCTTTTGTTAAATATAATTTAAAGCCTTTTAATTTCTTTTCATCACTTTTATTTTACATTATTTTATTTTATCTTGTTTTAGTTTACTTTATTTGGTTTTATTGCAATTGTAATTAATTTTACATTATTTAACTTTTGTCTTATATAATTAAATTTTTTTACAATTTTCTGATTGCACTTTGTCATTATAATTTATATTTTATTTTATTTAATATTTTATTTTATTTATTTTTATTTTATTTATATTTTTTATACCCATTTTAAGTCACTTCATTTATTTCATTTTTTTTCAAATTTACTTATTTCGGTATTGTATTGCTTTATTGTGCTTCAGTTTCTTAAATTTATTTTATTTTTTTAATTATTTAATTATTTCATTTTGTTTTATTTTATTTAATTTTGTTTTTATTAAATTTATTTTTTTAGCCTTTATTATTTTTAATTTAATGCCTTTTAATTTATTTTTTTTCACAGTGTAATTTAATTTTATTATATTTTATTACGATTTTAAATCATTTTACCTTGTTTTATTGAACATTATTTTATTTTTATTATTTTTTATTATGATTTTTTTTTTTAATTTTACTATTTCTTACTTTTATTGTACTTCAGTTTTATAAATTTATTATATTTTTTAATCTCATTAAATTTATTTGATTTTCTTGTTATTTATTTTTTATTAATTAATTAATTAATTAATTATTTCATTTTGTTTTATTTCATATAATCCTGTTTTTATTAAATTTATTTTTTTGAGCTTTTATTAATTATAATTTAATGGCTTTTAATTTATTTTTATTCACAGTGTAATTTAATTTTATTACGATTTTAAATCATTTTACCTTGTTTTATTGAACATTCATTTATTTTTTATGTTTTTTTATTTAATTTTACTTTTTCGGTATTATATTCTTTTATTGAGCTTCAGTTTTTAAATTTATTTTATTTTTTAATCTCATTAAATTTATTTGATTTTCTTGTTATTTTTTTTTTATATAATTAATTAATTAGATATTTTATCTTGTTTTATTTCATATAATCTTGTTTTTATTAAACTTATTTTTTTAGCTTTTATTAATTATAGTTTATTTTTTATTCACAGTGTAATTTAATTTTATTATATTTTATTACGATTTTAAATAATTTCACCTTGTTTTATTGAACATTCATTTATTTTTTATTATGATTTTTTTTTTTAAATTTTACTATATCGGTATTATATTGTTTTATTGCGCTTTAGTTTTTAAATTTATTTTATTTTTTAATCTTATTAAATTTATTCACAGTGTAATTTAATTTTATTATATTTTATTACGATTTTAAATACATTTATTTTTTATCATTTTATTTTATTATTATATTTTTCGTTTATTTCAGTTTATTATTCACGTTAATATTATTTTTTTCATTTCGATTTTATTTATTTTAGTTTATATTCCTTTATTGTACTTATGTTTTTAAAATTTTTTTATATTTATATTTTTCATGTTTTTTGTGTTTAAATTTATTTATATTTTATTTTTCATTTAATTTTTTTTTATTTTTTCTATATTTTATACAATACTTCGTTTCATTTCATTTAATTTTTTTGCGTTAGCTTTTTATTTTGTTTGAAATTGTTTTTTTTTTATTTTGTGATATAGTATTTAATTTCAATTTTATTATAATTTATTTTGTTTTTAAATATTTTACATTTTTTTAATAATTTTATATATTTTTTTGATTATTATTTTTATTTGATATTTTTGTTTATATTTTAAAATGTTAAATTCAAAAAATTTACCATATTTAATTTTATTTTATTATTTTGTTTATTTCACTTTATCATGAAAATTTTTGTTTATTTAATTCTATCTTTCTCTGTGTTATTTTGATTTTACTCCATTTTTTTTATTTCATGATTAATAATTCTAATATCCTGCCTTACTTGTAAAAGGATGTCATTTTTATATATTTATTTATGTCTGTATTTTCATATTTTCACAAAATAACTAGATTTGCGGTTGTTAGTCTTTTAACTTATATTATTTTTTACAAGTACGTTTTTGTTCTCTTATGATTTAAATATTTAATCATACGACTAATTCTTCCTATAATAACATTTCTTTGAGACTTTTATATTGAATAGAGCGTTAACACATTTAGTCTTCACTTGACTTTGCTGATAAATAGTTAGATGGCCGCAAGCGCATTTTTTCTATCGCGAAAAATACACTACGCTCCAGCCACATAAGGACGAGTGTATTCAAAATAGACATTTATTTATGCAGTACATATTTTTTTCTGGACTAATAGTATGTATGTATGTATATAAGATTAATACACTTATTGCGTTAAAATTGCAACAAAAGAGTATATCAGGTTTTACAGTATGCGGTACATAATAAATTTTTAGTAGTACTTTAAAGTTGTTTCAAAAAAAAAATATATATGTATATGTAAGTGTTAGCTTTGTATGTATGTAGCATTTACAAGTTTTGTATGTATATAATAAATTATTTGCTTCGTAGTTTGAGTTTCTTTGTTAAATGTCAAGTGTGTGTTTTGTTACATTTTGTGAGTATTTTTGAAAGCTAACAAAAATAGTTATCACAGCTGTAATTTGAGTTTGACTTGCAAAAATATATTGGAAATTATATATGTTTGTTAAAATGAAAACAATACTTGTCGGAATGTATATGATAGACAGTCTAAAGAGAAGAGTATTATGTGTTAGTTTAGCTAGAAAAATAATATGAAAATAAATCTAAATTCATAGCAAAATATTTTTTTTGTTTTATAATATTTATATACTGTAGTTATTTATGTATGCATGTATGTATGTAACTCACAATTGAAGCATAGTCCAAAGTTTAAAGCTTACGTTTAACCGTTTAATTAGTTTACTTTGCATTTGCCTACTCCTTTTCACTCTTATCACTCATTTTCCTAAGCTATACCCATGTGTAAAAATGAGATTTGTAGACGTCCTAAATGGCAGTGGGCGGTGGCGGCGCGCCGTTGCAAGCCGCAGAGGATGGTATTTGTCAGTGATATTTCGATTTTTGAGCATTTATATCAGCTCGAAGATTTTGTGTAAAGCAAATGCCAAGTATCTGTAAATGAAATGTTGGAAATACTATGAGTATGCGAGGTTGTTTAACACGGTTAAGTATAGCAAGCACATGAACTTTATTTTATAACTAAAAAACTAATAAACATAATGTATAGAAACGAACCTGTATGAAAATAAGTATAATAACGCTGGTTGAAATTATAATTAAATTACGCTCAATCCATTCTTCACCTGCTTGTACACAGCCTTTTTCGTAAATGATTTTTGATATTTCATAATTCTAGGAAAATAAAAAAGTAAAAGAAAATAATAATAATAAAATAAATTTTAGTGAATGAACAAACTATAAGGAATTATTTAAAAATAATATTTAAGATTGTTAGCATGCAGTATTATATTACAATAAAACGTTTAAATAAATATGTGTATTAAACAGTATACAGACAACAGGACCTGCACTATTAGTATACATATGCAGGATGTCGCCACACTTATTAGGTGCGCCTCCAACCAATCTTCGCCAGCACGCAAACAACCACGCTCATAGATATGACGCTCCACCGGCTTTAGCCCAACATCAATTTTATAGACAGAAGTGTATTCGTTTACATAAATAACAGCCAAACCAGTGTTTTTATTGCATTATTTTAAAATTTAAAAAAAGCGTTAGATAGAAAGCGTTAGTTAGAGCATAGTTTGGTCATAAAATGAAGAATTCACTATTTTTATTTGGATTTTCCAGTATAACTTACGTATCCCTCTTTGCGCACATCATATCCACATTGTTTGTTTTTAATTATTTCCGTTGGACGTCTTCGGCAGCATGAAAATGGCACGCCACACGCTTCCCGACTGCCTATCGCACTCGATGAGCAATTAAAGTAGTTATTACTGTCCCAATCTTTTGGGCCATCAATGCCACAACACTGCAACCAATCTTCCTGTATCCAATCGATTAGGTTTTGCTGATCTGGATCTTCACGATAGTGAATTATAAAGGCGCGCAATCCTTCGGTAGCTTGATCTTTTATCTAAAAGAATATGAATATTTATATAAGTGAAGGCAAGGCGATATTTATAGGAATTATGTACTTACCCAACCTTTATCCTTCAGCACGAAAGTTAGTATGCCCAAGCTAATTTCAAACGTCAGCAGCAGCGACAGAAACAGTGCATACTGCAAATAATAATTAAAATAATAAATATTTGAGAGCAAGTCTGTTTAATTCTATAATATAAACGCTACAGACTTCAGTTTGAAACACATATCAAACAAAAAAAATGTATCCAGTAATCAACTCGCTCTTACCAGTGATAAGAGGCAGGTATTTTCTCGTAGCGCACCAACACTCCCAGTAAAGCCAATTATGAATGTTATTGTGCCCGTGCAAATTAGTACAAAAGCTGGATCCAATGCTATGAATGTCAGTTTTGCCAAATTACTGAACATATCTTTTTCATTCCAGGCCCAAATACCAACGGCCAGCACACACAACCCTAGCGTCTGAAAATATAAAATATAGTATTTAAATGATTTTTTTCTAAGTACGTCAGTTACTTTAATGCCTGTTAACTTACCCAAACAACTACGTTGCTGCTGAAGAGTAGGTATTTTAAGCAACAGCTTATTTCAGTGGTTTCGCGTCGATATTTACGTACGGAAGGCATTTTTCTTACTTTGTATATTGAAGTATATATATGTGTGTGTGTAGAAGCTTCTTGTATTTTGAAAAATAAAAAAGAAACAATTGACTTGTTTTAAATTGACCTTACAAATATCCAACAGTAAGCGAAGTTTACTTTCACTAAGACCTTGGCTTGTACGAATCTCTACTATATAAATATTTCCTTCGTTTCTATTTTATACACTTTTATGTATTTTAGTAATATTATATGATTAAATTGCATTTTATATTAATTTTTATGCATTGCAATTATTGGCGTTGAAAATGTTTAATAAAAACATTTATAGAATTTTTCTTGTGATTTTCCTATCTGACAAATATTTTGCTTATATTGACAAATGTCAACACAAAGAAACTGGAGTATTGACACTTTATACAGTGATGTCTAGAAAATGAAAACTGAAAGTATTTTTTTCCAAATTTGATTAAATTTTAATATCTTTTCCGCCGAAAATATAACTTATCTATTGCTACAACGAAGAACCAAATTTCCTTACCATTCATGAGAAATTTAATTTAAGCAATCCAATATAAACATTAGCATATTCCATGTTTTGAATTCAAAGCGGATTAATGTTTACGGTCTTTGACATTTATGTTCTGACATTACGTTAGCTAATTGTGAACTATTATCAGAAGAGAAGAAGAAGCGTTTTTGTGCTGTGAAATAAAGGAGTGGATTGGTCTATTAAAGAATTTAATTTATTTAATAAATAGCCAATATGTCTGATAACGAGGATGATTTCATGTGCGAAGATGATGAGGATTATGGATTGGTAAGTTAACATAGGTTGAAACGAAGTTATTGCACTTCTTACAACAGATTGAAAAATGTACTCTTTCCAACCGGCAAATTGGCTTGTTCCGTAGGAGTATTCGGAAGATAGCAACTCAGAGCCTGATGTGGATTTAGAAAATCAATATTACAATAGCAAAGCTTTGAAGGAAGAGAATCCAAATGGCGCGTTGGCTTCATTTCAAAAGGTGCTTGATCTTGAAGGCGGTGAAAAGGGCGAGTGGGGATTTAAGGCGCTTAAACAGATGATTAAAATTAATTTCAAATTGGTAAGTAGCTGCAGCTCTTGCTTAGAATATTGTACATATTTCGGTATTTTTTTTTTAATTTTCAGAATAATTACAATGAAATGATGGAGAGATATAAATTGCTATTAACTTATATTAAAAGTGCTGTAACGCGTAATCACTCGGAAAAATCTATTAATTCCATTTTGGATTATATATCCACATCTAAAAATGTAAGCCGGTATATAAATTAATGAATTTATTAATGAAGTTGATTACACATGTACTTATATTTTATTTAGATGGAGATTTTGCAAAAGTTCTATGAAACAACTTTAGATGCATTGAAGGATGCCAAAAATGACCGTCTCTGGTTTAAAACTAATACAAAATTAGGCAAACTCTACTTTGATCTTGGTGATTTTATCAAATTGCAAAAAATTCTCAAACAATTACATCAATCTTGTCAAACGGACGACGGTGAGGATGATTTGAAGAAAGGCACACAACTACTTGAGATATACGCATTGGAAATACAAATGTACACAGTGCAAAAGAATAATAAAAAGCTGAAAGCATTATATGAACAATCATTACATATTAAATCCGCCATACCGCATCCACTTATTATGGGTGTAATACGTGAGTGCGGCGGAAAAATGCATTTGAGAGAAGGAGAGTTTGAGAAAGCGCACACCGACTTTTTTGAGGCGTTCAAGAATTATGATGAATCAGGCTCGCCACGGCGCACAACTTGTTTGAAATACCTAGTTTTGGCTAATATGTAAGTTGGAAGTTGCGTATGTTAATATATATTATACTGTTAATTGTATTCTCTGTATGCTTAGGTTAATGAAATCCGGCATAAATCCATTTGATTCACAAGAAGCCAAACCCTATAAACAAGATCCTGAGATTGTGGCTATGACAAAATTAGTTATATCCTATCAAAATAACGATATTACCGAGTTTGAATCTATATTAAAAACTAATCACAAAAGCATTATGGATGATCAATTTATACGCGAACACATTGAAGATCTACTGCGGAATATACGTACACAGGTGCTAATTAAATTGATAAGGCCATACAAAAATATTGGCATACCATTTATAGCGACCAAACTGAAAATAGAAGCGGCTGAAGTTGAAAGTCTGTTAGTTTCGTGCATATTAGATAAGTAAGTGGATTTTGTATGTATTGTTGTGAGTATTACTTTAATTATAGTATATATACAACTCTTTTATAGCACAATTCAAGGACGCATCGACCAAATGAATCAAGTGCTGCAACTCGATAAGGAAAATAGCAATGCAGCACGTTACAATGCCGTTGATGGCTGGGCGAACCAAATCTCTTCGCTGCACCAGGCTGTGGTAAACCGAATGGCATAAACAATACTTTAGATTTGTGTTATGCGGGTTCAAAACATGTTTGCTATAATAAAGATTTACAATATAAACTAATTGTTTTAACAACTATTAAATAAAGCAATGGCTAGCTTTGTACGCAATTCCTACAATTTCTACAGCCGATGGAGCACTACGAAATATTATATTAAAAATAAAAAAAAAAATTGGATACTACTTTTTTTTCTAAAAAAAAAAATGTGCTTGAATTATTGCTAAATAATTATAAATTTTGTGTATTTTAGTAAGCAAATTCAGAATCAAAAAAATATTAATAATTTTTAGTACTAAATTCGTTTGCTTTATTAAATTTGTGTGGTACGTACATACATATATATGTATCAATTGATTTCATTTTTTGTATTATAACTTTTTAATTTTTATATGAGCTAATAGTTTACACCAGATATTTGCTAGTGCACAAACATAAACGTAGTTTATATATTAAATAACCTAAAAGGCACATCGGAAATACAAGTAAAAGACCACCAAGCGAGACAAATGATGATGACAAAGGTTGTTCACCCCAATTAAGTATTCTATATATATACGGTTTGCCAATGCTATATAAGTAACAGATGCATATACATATATGTAAATAGAAAATTCCATTTTTTTCTTTCAATATAATTTAAATTACTTACACATTTTCGCCACCCGTCAGAAAATAAATTATGGAAAATATTATATAAATTATGACAACAAATGCTGGATAAATGAAGTGTTTAATGCGTGTAGGAAACGCTACCACCATTTGATCTAAAATCATCAATACTGAATTAACTGCATGCGAATTGATGTTATGAAAGTGGGCAATACAGCTATGACTATCGGGCCCTATGAAGAAGTAACGGTAGAGTCTTACAATCTCGATGCGACTTATACCCTCGGGTAATTGGAAGCTTGAAAATGGAAATATGAATAACCAATAGATAAATGAAAGCCCAGTTGCGCATGTGAATGCGGAAATATGTAGATACCAGTACGATTTCACCATCCAGCGTGGACAGGCTGAAAATGGAAAAGGGGAAAATTAGTAAGGATTCTAAAATGAGTAATAAGCGCAGCAAAAACGTATTCCATACGTGCTTTCGGACATGTGACACAGGCGTATATCGATACCAGTATCACACTGTATACGGCCACCAGCGTGCAGAGCAAATATCCCCAATTTGTAAAATAAATAAACCATTTGCCATCGAAATAGAACTCATACAGGCTAAAACCCAGTGTTACCGCGAACCAAGTGGCGAAACACCAGCGATAGATCAGGAATATTACCGAGTACTCTGCGCTCTGCCACTGCAAGGTAAAAAAGGCGTAAATGGATAGTTGAATTATAAACACTATGCAGTTGAGTTAGCTAATATGCGCACACTTGTGATTTGAAAAAACTGTTCACTGGCTCTTGTAAGGGCTCACAGCAGCTGCAGCGACGTGTACTGGTCTGTAAGAGTTGAGGAGGAACTTGTTTACACAATTATAACATTTACTTCATTTATACCTACGTCACTGATTTGTATTTGGACATCCATTTGGTTTTGACTATTTTTCAACTTTTTATTGCAAATAATTTTACAATATTTTTTTTTGAATACAAATTTTATATATGTATATATATATTTTTTTTTAATTATTGGTTTGAATTTTGTTTTTGCCAATTCATATGCGTAAAATTTTGTTGTTATAAAAAAAAAAGAATAATATAAATAGCAATAGAAAAAGTCAAGTTGAAGATATTGCGTCAAAAATATTTACAATTTCACAGTAATGCCTCCGTTCGTACTTTCGAAAGTGATTCCAAACAATTTTTTTTTGTTGTGTCTGGTTTTTCAAAATGTTTATTCCAAAAATAACACAAACGTGTGGTGGATAGATTGTGTTCATGACTATATTTGCTTGTGTGTTTTCAGAAAATAATAGATTTCGGAAAATAAGAAGAAAATTTGAGCTGCCACTTTTTAAGGGAATCAAAATTTTTATGGAGGAACTCAAAAATTTTGTGTTATCGTATTTTGTAAAGTGCTTTAAGGAGCATAAGGTCTTCCAGCCGCTTATAATAACCGTTTTGTTGTTGTTTTTGTTATATAAAAGTTAAACTCTTTGAGAGACAGCCAAAGTAAGACCATTTAGTAGTAGTTCGTCGGAGGGTTGGAACTGAAAAGTGCTTTTTCGTTGGGTTATGACGAGTTGGTTTTAGGCAGCATGCATAGTGTAAGGATTCATGGCATGCTGAGCTTATCGCAGTCTCATGGGCATAAGCAAGCATTAGGTCTACTATAACAGCCAGGTCTTAGTTGTGGGGCTACTACTCGAGTCTCACTAGTCAGCTAATTTATTCCCTCCAGACCTTACTCGTGTCGGTATTACTCGAGTCTGGCTTGTTATATGTGACGCTGAGCTTATCGCAGTCTCATGGGCATATGCAAGCGCTAAGTCTACTATAACATCCAGGTCTTAGTTGTGTGGCTACTACTCGAGTCACACTAGTCAGCTAATTTATTCCCTCCAGACCTTACTCGTGTCGGTATTACTCGAGTCTGGTTTGTTATATGTGACGCTGAGCTTATCGCAGTCGCATGGGCATATGCAAGCGCTAAGTCTACTATAACATCCAGGTCTTAGTTGTGTGGCTACTACTCGAGTCTCACTAGTCAGCTAATTTATCCCCCCAGACCTTACTCGTGTCGGTATTACTCGAGTCTGGTTTGTTATATGTGATGGTTGTAATCGAAATTACGCAATTCACTGGCAGAGAGTTTAGGAAGGCGTTGACTGACGTTGTGTTAATGGTCCGGAGGACTGTGCCGTTTTAAGTAGATACCTAAAATGATGATCCCTGTAATAGCACTGATACAGACATAGCTTGCAATGTTAAGCCTTTTGACCGCGAGTATGGATGACTCGCAATGCGAATGGTGTAGAGACGATATCAGAAGGATTCGTTTCACAAATGTCTTGGCTGACTTATTGGGATTACTCTCGTAGTATCGCAACTGATAATGCTAGCGTTATGATTCTTAATCGCGAGTGTAGATGTAGGGGTTGGAACAGGGTTTCAAGAATTTACGCGCGGTCAGGCTTGTTTGGCTTAGGAGGTGACTTAAATCCAATAGTTCTCACGATAGTCGTGTCTTTATACCGCAACCAGCTGGATTTTTATTCAGCCAAGGACTGTCAACTCCTTACATTCCCCAAAAACTATTTTAGGAAATGTTACAACAACAACAGCAAACAAACATGTTCCGCTATCAGCAGATTTACAACTTCCGCTTAACCTGTTTTGACTGGAAACGTTGCGGTTTCGACTTTTTACAACAGTCCTGGCATTTTGGAGTTTTCTCATTTAATGGTAAGCCCAGAGAGCGATCTTTCAATGTTGTTGTTGTAACCGTTAATAAATCCTGATTCCACGGATTTTATCAGAATAAAGATCTAACTGTGTAGGCTATTGAATTTTCAGCGCCTCTTTCGATAAGCTTGCTCCAGTTTAGGTTAGGTAGGCTAAGTTTGGTTTAATTGGTTAACCCCAACAAGCCTTACATGGACTACGTCACGTTTGTAGCGTTACTTGATACAATTTTTACGATGAAAGCTGTACTGCCACACTCGATGTTGTGTCTCTAGTTTGTAGAACGTTGATGTTCTCTTCGCAAATTGAAGTAGCCCTTTATTTATTGCTGATTGAACGCCCTGCAGCTGCTCCATTGACTCCGCACAAAGCAAAGTCAATGCCTCTAATATTCCTTAGGCATGGATCTACCGCAGGGTTGGAAGATAGAGCCGACGGAGAGTTTACCTAAGCCGGGCCAAATCAATGAAATTGTTTTTGTTGTTAGGTATGATAACCCTCAAGGAGAAATCATGATCAACTCTTTAGTTGGACTGTAAATCTTAAGCTAACCTTCTCAATTCTCCGCACAATTTGCAGGCGATCACTAAAAATATGTATATCAGTTCATTGCTTATTTAACAAGTTTGTTAATTATATATTTTTAATATTTTGTAATGCCAAATACTTTTTTCGTAATAATATTTTGTACATTTTTCACCAATTATTTATGCTATAATTTATATTGCATCTATTAATAAAAAAAATACTTAAAATTAATTTACAAAAATGTTTTCTTATATATATATAATAACTTATAAAATTATTAAAAATTTTATAATTATTTCAAGGAAGCCTCATCAAATTTGAAAAGCATTTTCTAATTAAAAAAAGATATATAAATATATATATTGAAGACTCTTATACCTTAACCACTAAAACAGAGTGATTAATCTTCCTATAAATAAAACAACGTAATTTGTAGAGTCCAAAGAGTAAACAGGACATTATTGTTAATAATATAAAACATATAATGATATAGATTAAAGCATAACCGGGTCGGGTCCAATCTAATATGGTGTATATATAAGGATTGCCTAGGCTGCAAAAAAAAAATGAATATTTTTCAAAATCATAATTATTAAAATAAAATGTTAAGCATTTTAAAAGCTTGAGTCGGATTTAATACTTAGATATTGGTTTGAAGACTGGAGATATCTTGATGCAAATTTGACCAAAATTAGAGTTATTTAATTTTAAGTTTATTACATTCCTCCGTTTTTCATTTTATTTGTCTTTCATTTTATTTTATAACAAGTTTTCTAAAATACTTCAACTAAATTTATTTGATTTTAATTTATTTAATTAAATTAAATTTTCTTTTTAGTTTCTTTATTTTATTTTGTTTGATTTATTTCATCTATAATTTAATTTAATTTAATTTTTTTTATTTTATTTTATTTTATTTTATTTTATTTTATTTTATTTTATTTTATTTTATTTTATTTTGATTTATTTTGTTTTATTATATTTTATTTTATTTCGTTTTATTTTATTTTATATAATTTTTTTTTATTGTATTTTATTTTATTTTATTTTGTTTTATTTTATTTTAATGTATTTTATTTTATTTTATTATTTTTTTTTGGTTTAATTCAGTATATATTATATCATTTTTTTAATATATATATTTTCATTTTATAAAACATGTATTTTAAAATATTTTAAGTGTATTTATTTCATTTTAATTTAATTTTCCCTTTTGGTTTATTTGGTTTTCTAATCTATTTATTTTTTTAAATTTTATTTCCTCATTTCATTCTATTTTTATTCTGTTTTATTTAACTTAATTTAAATTAATTTTATTTTATTTTAAAATACAATTTTTTTATTTTCTTTATTTGAATACATCTTCCTCAATTTCTTTTTACAATTTATTTTATTTAGTTTATTTTATTTAATATTGTTTTTGGTTTTTAATTTTATTTTGTACGTATTTAAAAATAAATATTTTCTCTGAATATATTTCATTTTAACATAATTCATTTATTTTTTGTTTAATTGAATATGTATTATTATTTTTTGTATTTATTTTTTATGGGTTTATTTAATAATATTTTATCTGAATTTATTTTATTTTATTTTAATTTATTAATTTTTTTTGATTGATTTTATTTTCTTATTTAATTTTCTTATATCATTTTATTTTATTTTCATTTTATTTAGAATTATTTAACTTAATTTATTTTGTTTAATTGAATTGGATTTTATCTTTTATTTTATCTGAATTTATTTTATTTTGTTTTAATTTTATTTTGTTTTGTTTAACTTAATTTTATTTTATACTTTGTTTATTTATTTTAGTTAAATATATTTTAATTTATTTTTTATTTTTTTTAGAATCAATTTAATTTAATTAATTTAAGCATAACTGATTTTAATTTAGTTTTATTTTTTGTTATTTAGTTTTGTATATATTATATAATCTTTTCTAATTTAGATTAATTTAATATAAAAAAAAAAATTTTAAAATAAACTATTCTATGTTTACATTTAATTTTAATTTATTATCTAATTTAACTTTTTTTTGGTTTATTTTAGTTTCTTATTTTATTTTATTTTATTTTCTCATCTCATTTCATTTTTATTCTGTTTTATTAAACTTAATTTTATTTTACTTTATTTTCTTTATAATACATATTTTTTATTTATTTATTTTATTTTTTTATTTGAACAGATTTGAACTTATTTAATTTTTTTATAATTTCTTTTTTTTTCAAATTTATTAAGTTTATTTTATTTAAATTCAATTTTATTTTATATATTTATTTTTTAAATATTTTATCTAAATTCGTTTTATTTTATTTGAATATATTAAATTTAATTATTATACATTTTCTTTTCTGCTTGAATTCGTTATCTTCTATCATTTTATTTTCATTTTATTTTGAATTATTTAAATTAGTTTTAGTTTATTTTGTTTTATTTAATTTAATTGAATTTTATTTTATTTGATTGATTTTTTGATTTGATTTTTTTTTTATCTGAATTTATTTTATTTTATTTAAATATATAATGCGTAAATCAATTTATTTTATCTCATTTCATTTTATTTTTATTTCATTTTGCGTTAAATAACTTAAATTTATTTTATTTTTTATTTATTTATTTTGATTGAATATATTTTACTTCATTCCTCTAATTAATTATTTATTTTATTTAATTTTTCTAGAGTTGATTGGTATTTTAACCTAATTTTACTTTGTTTCTATTTCTTATTTTATGTTATTTTAATTTATTTTGTTTTATTTTATTTCTTTATATTTTTTTATTTTTCTTTATTTTTTACTTTATTTCATTGAATGAATGAATTAATCACCTTTAACTAAATTTTATTTTAATTTGATTAATTTATTTTTAATTTTATGTAGTTTTTTATGTGAGATTTAATATTTATTTTTTATTTGTTTTTTAATTGTTTTATTTTGTTATAATTTATTTTTATTTTTAATTTATTTTATTCAATTCTTGTTTAAATTGATTTAAATTAATTTAACTTAATTTAACTTAATTTAATTTAATTTAATTTCATTTTATTTTAATTGAATATATTTTATTTTATTTTAATATTATTTATTTATTTTAATATTAAATTTTAATTTTTTTTTGATTATTATTATAGTACTTCATTCCAAATAAATTTTTTTTTTCAAAAACTCACATATCTACGCCTCCAGCGAAGTAGTAGACAATAGAGAAAATCACATAAATCACACCCAGTCCAATGGGATAAATAAAATGTAGGATCCTTGCAGGAAATGCGACCAACATAAAATCGATTGTCATGAATATCGAATTGCTTGCATGTCCTAGTAAATTATAGATTAACGCAATGCCACTAGAGTCATCTAAAAATATAAAAAAATGAATGTAAGGCAAAACAAAAATATAAAGGGAAATAAAAATATAATATAAGCTGTTAACGATGAATGAAGAGCTTCCAATGAAACCACAAACAGCAAGAAGAAATAAAGAGAGAGCCTTCACTGGAATTTCGTTTTTTCGTGAGTTTCGAGAAGAAGGTTATGGTTAACGTGAAGTTTCATATTCAAACAACTTCAACGCCATCTTTTGTATGCCGAGTTTCTTTCCAGTTAAGCCTATTTCCTTCAGAACTTTAAGAGAATTTCCTCCAGTTTTAAGCCGCCTGTCACACTCCGTCGAAGACCTTTGATTGTGGTGTAATTTTGAGCCGGATAAGTGAAATTGATTCCACCAAATTTCCTCTTTCCTCTTTTAGCCGTAATCCAAGGTTCCATACGTGTGGTTTATCATGTATTGCACAAATGGTTGCTCATGCTTGCGGAGAGGATGCAGAGTGACAAGACGAAATATTTTCTGTCAACGAAATATTCATGCCACTGTTAACAGACTTAACTTTGTAATCGTGGATAACTTCGTCTATCTTGGAATCATCATTAACATCAGCATGGAAATCTAACGCCGAATCACCCAGTCCAAAAGTGCTACTTTGGGCTGAGAGGGTAATTGAAAAGTAAAGTCCTCTTTCTGCGATCAAAGGGCAAACTCTGCAAGTCAATCCTCATATCGGTACTGCCATATAGCGCATGGACGATGACATACTCCGAAGAGGCGGCGTTAGGAGTTTTCCAGATAAAGGTTTTGTGTAAGATTTATGATCCTCTACGAGTTGTGAATGGCGAACACCACAGCCGCCGGAGTTTTCCAGATAAAGGTTTTGCGTAAGATTTATGATCCTCTACGAGTTGTGAACGAGATTTACGGCGACATTGATGTAGTTCAGCGTATCAAGAAACTGTGGCTATGTTGCTCCGGAGGGATAAGAATATTCCAGCTTTGTAAGTTTTCAATGAAGTAAGCGCACCGGTGAAAGCAGAACAAGAGGAAGCTATCCTTCCTGGAAAATTACCTGGTTGTACTTGGTAAAGAAGGAATGAGTTGCGCGCTGTTGCTAGCTCGGCTAAAATTGTGAAATTAATTTAGTAACAAAAAGCGCTCGAACTTACATGGATAGAGCACTGTCCAATAGACAAAAGTGATGACAGTGGCCAATACCAAGGCAGTCCAGTAAGCAGCCCAATAGAGTTTCAATATGAAACCATAGATGGCTGGAAAAAAATAAAAAAAAATATTTTTAAGCAGAGAAAAAAGTAAAAAAAAATTGTCTATTCAGAAAACACACCAAACTCATCGGGACGCCAGTAATACAGACTAACTAAAATGGCGCCAGAAACGCTGTTGATCATGCAGAGGAAGAAACCCCATGATGTGAGATAAATAAATCCTTTACCATCAAAGAGGAATTTGCTCATTGCATCGCAAACGACGGCGATAAAGTAGCCAGCCAAGAGCCAGCGATAGATGAGCCAACATGTGGACCGACTGTGCTTTTGCCACTGGATGTAGAATAATAAAAAAGTTTGTTTCTACCGGAAAATCCGCAAATTTCGTGTAACTCACTTGCGACCTAACAAAATCCTCCGCTGGCTCATGCGCTAAACTGAATTTTTTCAATTGAAACTCCTTGGCGAGGGGATGACAAAGCCGCGCGCACCACTTTCCCGCCCAGCTAAACATTTAACGGTTTCAATTGTCGTACGTAGAAGTCAAAATTTTTATTGCCATTGAAAATTCGTAATTAACTCAAATCACTTTCACTTAAATTTATTAATTCATAATTCACGCTTTGGACGCCTTTGTGCTTTCAGCCAAATACCTTTACCACTTATTAGCGACTATTTAGTATTTGTTTGAAAAAGCGTCTTTTTGGTTCAATATTTTTATATTCTTATCTATTCTTCTATGCCATACATACAGATCTATAGTATATACGCGTAAATATATATCAGCTAAACAATTTTTCTTACATTCTATGTGAGCACTTGTATATCGAAATTACATAAATATTTGCGAAAAGTAAAGTCTTATCGATAAATAAAAAAAAATTGATTTGGCCTGTCATAGAAAAAAAAAATGTGAAAAGATATGGAGAGCATAAGTCACACTACGCAACATGTCATGCTTTGTTTTATCGCCTGTGCCACTCCAAAACTTGTGACTTGGGCTATACGAGGTATGACAAGTAAGTAAAGAGACTGATTATTTTGCCGCGAATGTGGTAACCCTGCGACTTTGAAATTCTCTTTCCCCTCTCCCGGCATCCTTATCCTCTCCATTGATATATTTGCCATCGCTCTAACTTGTTTAGTTCGCCCGCTGTGTCGTGTTGAGTAGACGTGTGTTCGTGATGCTCATCAAGAAAATGGAAAAACGAAATTGCGTCGCGATAAAACTTTGCGCCAAATTAGGGGAAATAGCTTCGGAAACGTACGCTAAAATTTTAAAAGTGCATAGTAAAAGTGCTCTTAGATCACAATTATTGTCTTCGCACGCTCTCCCCGCCCGTTAAAAGCCGGCACGAGCAAGTCGAATGGGAAAACGATGATTATTGCCTTTTTTGATAGCCGTGGGATCGTCCACAAAGAATTTCTTCCACTGGAGCAAACTGTAAATCAAGTCTACTAACGCCAAGTACTCGAAAGATTGCAAAAACGAGTCAACAGGGCGCGCCCGTACATCGCTCGTTACTGGTTTCTTCAACAGGACAGCGCACCGTGTCACACCGCCCTCAGCGTTCCCCAGTATATGTTGAAACAACCACCTTATTCGCCCGATATGTCACTCTGTGACTTTTTTTTGGTTCCCTAGAAACAAAATCGGTGGTCGAAGGAACTCATTTTGTGTCGATTGAGGACATCCAGGCGTCCGTGACGGGATTACTCGCGGACACCCCAGTTAAAGCGTGTCAGAAATGTTACGAGGCATGGAAAAGGCGCTGGAATCGTTGTTTAGCTGCCCAAGGGAACTACTTTGATGGGCATGGCAGAGTTGTAGAATAATTTTGAAATATACTGTTTTTATGGAATCAGTCTCATTACATAATTGTTAAACCTCGTAATCATTTGGTCATGAGTCAACGTACTTGAACTCACATGGTTAATTGATAATTATCTTCTCGAAATTCTGGGTGTATTGAGGGAGTCGTCTACATGATCACTTAGAAACTCGTTTAGGATCGCTTAACTAAAAACTATTTAGAGTTTTTTTAATATTAAACCAGCTAGGAGCTGACTTGGACTGTCGTTTGGTAGTCTTACGTCTCACTCTTATATCTTCTCACGTATATTATATGTGTACTTTTATTACTTACCTACTAACCTAGGTGGCTCTTACCGCAGCTGTCGTCAGGCACATTTGCACACGTGCGTCCTCTCATTACAACAGGCATGAAAAGTTCTCCTCCTCTTGATCTTTCCATCGGAGTTGCGACCTTCCCCTTGCTATCTCCCATCAGCTTACGGTTCGAACTATTTCTTCACTAGAGCTTTTTTGTCCAAATGTACAGCATATCCGAGCGAAAGCATGACAGTGTATTGTGATGAACTCGACGTCATCGTAGAGCTCGTACGGCTCGAATACGACAGAGACCGAAGATTTTTCCTTCGAACACTCCAAGCTCAGACCGATCTACTGTCTGTGTCTGCTAGGTTGTGATCGTATTAAAAGACATGAAATTAGATCGACAATATTGCGATAGATAGAAGACAACTCTATAATCTTTTGGATGTGCCTTCTTTCCGAGATACTTACATTGACTCGTACCACTATCTTGTTTCAGTCAAAATACATATCTATTGTACGTCTGTGCTGCCAAGAAACGCGTACCAGTACTCTCTGCGAAGATTTCATTTTTAAAAGCTGTAGTAATAAATCATGGCAAATGACTCTGCCAACAACGGGACGGCATTTCAAGCTTTCTACATACAACCTTCAACGAAACTATTGCCTCTCGACAACTCCAAAGGAATAGCTGGTATTAAGGATTGTCGTGGCGCAGGGGAGATATGAAGTAGTGGATGAGAGATTCAAAAGCTGGTCCAAAAAGGGTTAAGCTCGAAAATTCTACAAAGAGATGTGGCATCTAACAGAAGGTTTCTAAAGGGGAACAATCTCTTGTAGGACTTTGAGAGATGATTTAGTAACGAATGTCCACAGTATACTCAATCAATGGAGGTTACACTTCTCTAGTCTGATGAATAACGATGCTACAGGTGTTTCACTGAGCGACTTTAAAGAAGCTCTAATAACCATTGCCCGCTTGAAAAACAACAAAGCGGTAGAGACGGATGGTTTGCTGATGTCGGCTGTTCAAATACGGCGGCGAAAAGCTGAGAAGATGCATGCATAATAGTTTTTTTTTTGCAGAATATGGTCTGCAATCTGGTGATCTAGTAACTAAATCTTACTGTATGGTAGTGAAAGCGCTACATCAGGAGGTGGCGAGCCAGAATTTCAATCCCAACTATGAAGAAGGTCCAATCTGGGTGTGCCCTGCCAAACCAATAAATAAAGAGGTCTCCACAATCTGCGAAAGAGGTCGTTGGTTAAGCCTATTTCTTATGACACAGAAGGTCCCGTCGGGCGTAATGTGTGAAAAACTAAATCTTAAAGTTAACAAACTGGTTGACACAGGCTAATTTCAAACATGGCAAATCTGAAATTAACCAGATATTCATTACACATTGATTCTTGTATCGACACTCTGTCTTCATAACGCTATGCCCAAGTTTGATATTCCCGCAAAACTTATACGGCTGTGTAAACTGACGTCAAATGAAAACGCGAAGTGCTCCGAGCCGTTCGATAACAGACGAGGTTTCAGACAATCTATTGCTGGAGAAAACTCGACAAGTCATTAGTCATTCTCGTCCTGCTATATGGGAAGAGGAGCGGCATAGACGATGTCAACCTCTGATGAGTAGGCGCTAGGAGTCTAAGAAAGAATGGTTTAAAGAAGATTTATGGTGTTTAGCGCATTGAGAACGACGACTCATGAACCCGGTTGAACAATGAGCTGTGCGAGTTAATTCAGCGAATCAAGAGACAGCGAGTACGCTGGATAGTTAATGCGGTCCGTAATGTTTGGAAAGTACTCCAGCGTTGAAAATATTCGATGTAGTACCCGCTGGTGGAAGAAAAGTAAGAGTTAAACTTTTACTCCGCTGGAAAGATTGGCTGGAAAAAGAACGTTGGCTAGCTTAGTGTATCCAATGGACGTCTAACTTCAATGAAACAACGCTTCCGATTATACGAAGATGAAGAAGCAGATTTAATTCGCTGTACTTTAGGTAACTACATTTTTTTCTTTAAAATTTTACTTATTTTTATAAACAAAAAAAAAAATTACAAAATTTTTATTAAAAATTAACATGAGTAACAATTGCTATTGTACATATAATATAAGTTCTTGAGTTTATAAGTGCGATTAATTTCCTAAATTTGTACATATGTATATCTAAATATAATTTAATAAAAACTAAACTATTTTAGATAATCTCATTTCGTACTTTTAAACATTCAAAGTGAATTGATGAGTATTGCTTCGTTTGTTATAGATAAATCTCTTCAATTTATACAGACCAAAATGTATGCAACCGAATATGAATGTCAACACAAAAGTACCAAATACCGTTAAAGTAGCTGCGCCAGGTTTTGACCAGTCAAGTATCTCGTAAATGTAGGGATTTCCATAACTACAAGTATTAATAAAGAGAAAGAGAGTGAGAGAAAGAGAGAGCGAGAAAAAAATGAGAGAGAGAGAAAAAGTGTGAGAGAGAGAAAAAATAAGATAGAGCGAATAAATGAGAGAGAGAGAAAAAATGAGAGAGAGAAAGAGAGAGAGAGAAAGAGAGAGAGAGAAAGAGAAAGAGAAAGGGAGAGAGAAAAAATGAGAGAGAGAGAAAAAATGAAGGAGAGAGAAAAAATGAGAGAGAGAGAGAAAATGAGAAAGAGAGAGAGAGAAAATGAGAGAAAGAAAAAGAGAGAGAGAAAATGAGATACAGAGAGAGAGAAAATGAGATAGAGAGAGAGAAAATGAGATAGATAGAGAGAGAAAGAGAGAGAGAGAATATGAGAGAGAGAAAAAGAGAGAGAGTGAGAAAGAGAAAGAGCGAGAAGGAGAGAGAGAGAGTTAATTATATATATATATATATATATATTGTTAAAAAATTATATAATATTTTTCTTTCACTTACATATCAACACCGCCAGCATAATAATAAATGAGCGTGAATACAGCGTACACCACTCCCACGATCAGTGGAAAGACATAATGTAGAATGCGTACAGGAAATGCGACCAGCATGTGATCCAATATCATTAGTATGGAATTGAAACCGTGTGCCCACAAGTTATACAAAGCCCAGGGGCTTTGGGGGTCAACTGTAAATAAATTAAAATTTTTAAATTTACTAATTTTTTAATTAAAAAAAAATAAACTTAAAATTATATGACTGAAAATATAATTTTTATATACAACCACTCCACCCTTACCCACTTACGCGTTTATAGCTCGGTTAGCAACAGTGCGCCATTCATTCCTTTTTTTCGCTGTTTGCTGTTAATTGGAAATACCAAGGGTAGCCAGGTCTCCACCTAACCTTTTCACCGAAATGGTGGTATTCTTCTACCGCTGGTAGGGGTAATGCATCGCTCCACATGACCTAGCCAGCATATCCACTTTCTATTGACTAGCTCAGCTCTATAGGTAGTTATATGACTGACTTCAAAGTTATGACTGTCAATAGTGTCGTGGGTACCGAAAAAGCAAATTCATACGTTTCGCTTCCTCTTATCCAGTCTTGGGAAAGCAGAACTGACGTGGTTACTGCGTGGTTGTTGACGCCAATGAAATAAGACTTATCCAATACGCCAGGTAGGTGCGGAAGAAAGATGAGTGAATTTTATGTCGCTTAAGAACTCCAAGTGGAGCTGCTCAGCTTAAGCCGTTACCTACCCAATAGAGTTGGTAGAGAACCGCCACAAAATAATTAATCCAAACCCAGTATGGATACCAGGACACAGACAACGCTCCGCAGCCCAAAAAAAACAACAGTTTGATGTGGATGATGAATGGCCGTATTGTTGGGACGCACTTTTTCAAAGAAGATAACAACCGGAATGTTCCTTTGACCGGGAACCCAGACTATGGATATGTTGAGTTGAGGCGCCAGCGAGCTCGAAGCCTTGCTATAATTTCTGATGATGCTGGACGTAGCATTGCCGACGATAAGGCCAGTAATACTGCCTTGTTGTCCATATATGATTGCTATCTATATTGTCGCAGATATAACTTTTTAGGCCTTCTCTATGCTGGAAGATTCTAGTTGAGTTGGTAGACGGTTTGAGCAAGATAAGGATGTCAAGATCTTTGGAGTTTGCCGTTATAGATTCTCACCATGAAGTAACTTTCCTCGTCAAGTAAGATCCAACTTGTGATTGACAACTGCCGGGCACACGTACCTTACTGTCTCAACATTTTCTCTGTATTTTCTACATTTAATGCACTCAATCAGGTAGTGAACCCCACCAGCAAACTAGCGGCCTGGAGTATAAGCTATACGTTGCAAGTAAGAGCTCAGTAAGTTGCTTGACATATGTTTTATGGCTTCCCAAACATATTAACCTATTTACAGAGAGAATGTGTTGAGCCCATAATTATGTATTATAGTAAAAGAACGATCGCGTTAGCCAGTTCATCGTCTACCTCGTTGCTTTCCATACTTATATCACCAGCACCTAAAAATGCTAAATCTTTCTTCCGTCTTAAGCCTCCAGATTGCCTCCTTACATAGTACCATCTTTCGAATTCCTAAAAAGACGGAAAGCCCATTCTGAGCCAACTACCTTGCGATAAGAATCCTCATATCGGACTTATTGTCTGAAAGACTAAAGGGACCACGGCGGTGGTGAAGAAAGACCCGTCAACAAACTGATTTCAGCTTTTCAGTCTGGCTTTAGGCCTGTTGAATCTATAATTTACTATAATTCACCACACAACTCACCATACGCCAAAGAGGAGCTTTGTCTCCGCCGCTATATTTGAATTTGGCAACTCCGCAAAACTAAAACGGCAATGTAAACAGATGTTAAGCAACATCTAATGCTGCGTCAGTATCCAGAAGGACCTCGCTGAGCTGTTCGATAGCACAGAGGGACTCGGACAAGGCGACACCTTCTTTAACCTATTGCTTGGTAAAATAATTCCAGGTGCAGAGCTGTAGAGACGTTACAATAATGTATACAATTGTTAGCGTGCGCCGATGGTTTTGGTATCATTGGTGCCAATAACCGCGTCAAGAGTCATCGACTAAGCGACTCGGCTGCCTCATCACTGTTGATAGTCATGAAATTTGGATGTCTTGATATACATATATAGTATGCCATCTAATAAGACGACGATGAGTACCGCAGCCGTTGGAACGATGAGCTGTATGAGATATACGGTGGCTTGGACATAGTTCAGCAAATCAAGAGAGGATAGCTTCGCTGGGTAGTTAACATGATTCGAATTTAAGAGAATACTCTGTCTTTAAAAAATTTTATTTCAATGCAATACTCGGAAGCAGCGGAAGAGGAAGAACACTCCATTGAAGAGATCAGGTGGAGAAGTACCTGACTACATGCTACACTCGACTATAAACTCATAAGGGTTGTCTATATAATTGGCGCTTTGTAACCGCTTAAGCGATTTTCGGCCGCGCTCCTGCTCCAATTTGTGGTTTTTCGTCTTAGTGTGCTTCCAATAAATGCAGATACCTACAGTTCATACTAAGCCGCCTCCGAAGGGCTGTTGGTTTTTTATGAGGAGCTTTATTTCATGTCAGAAACACAAACGGAGGGTTAACATTCTCTGCCGAGGGGCGACCGCAATCAAAAAATTAACCTTTTATTTAAAAATAATTTTTAATAACCTTTTTTTTAGATGTTAGTACGATAACAGGATTTGAACCAATGCTAACCATTGAGCTACCGCGGCCGTAAGGGCTGTCTACGCCAGTGAAAGAGAAAGAAGAGGTAGATGCTCTAGTGGCTGGACAGCTCTTCATTTCAGACTGAGCACTCTAGAGTGCTGCCCACACTTTCCAGCTCATTAATGAGGACGTGCCAAACTTTGCCGGCAAACTTGAGTAAATTGATCGATCCGTTTGCATCTTCTTTAGTTGCCATAAGACTTTCCAAAATCAGTTCAGGCATGACCTAGCCTATACGCAATCTAAGGGATTAGTCTATGCTGCTGTGCACATAATTTTCAGCTGTTTGGTGGCGTGGTGCCAGACACTGTTATTACCAAAAAAAGATTAGATCTCTAAGCTGATTAGGTTGTTTTGTTATCAAAGTTCCTAAAAACGCTTATCACTTTCCATTGAGTTTATTGTATGCAATTGATTCGTTGGATTGAGACCCGTCACATATCAGCGTAGAACTTATTGCTTATCGGATTGTTAATCATTATTAAAAAGTTTATTTAACAAGGTTATTTAACGGTATTTACGATAATACATGATTCGCAAAAAAAAATCTGTGTGTTATTAAACTTGCACTTACTTGGGGAAATAAAAATCCAATAAATAAAAGTAATAAGCGTAGCCAGCGACAATGTGGTCCAATAAGAAGCCCAATAAAATTTAAGTGCCCACAGCGGTACATCTGTAAGGCAAACGAATGGTTCTATTTTGCTCGGCAGGGAATTTTCCAATTTTCTATGTTAACTCACCCACACTACCCTCGCTGAAATGATAGATCGTTACCAGCACTGCGCCAAAGATGCCGGTAAACATGCATAGAAAGAAACCCCAGTCAGTGAGATAGATAAACCATCTGCCACCGCCGAAAGTCTGTATCAGGCTGCCCACTACACCGGCTGTGAAAACGGCGGCGAAGAGCCAGCGATAGATTAGCCATAAGAGCGATTTCTGCTGACGTTGCCACTGGTAGGAGGTTGATGGTATAATGAAAAAAAAAAATAAATAAATTAATTAATTAAGGAAGAATCAATTTTTTTTGCATTTTCGCTGCTCACCTGTGATCGAAAGAAATCCTCCTTGGGCTCATGTGTCAGGCTGAGTTTTTCACGTTGAAACTCTTTAGCCAGCGGATGGCAAAGTTGATGACAGATACCCGCACCTTCACGCATCTATATATATATATTTTTAATTATAACAGTTTTTACATATATACATATATATATATATATTGAAAATAATTTGATTGCATTAATTCACTTTTCCAACATTAAATACACGCTCGAGCAGCAGCCAAAACACCGTTATGCCGACCCGCTCGTAATGCCACAACCTGGGCAACTGTTGCCTAAAGAATTGTACTATTGCGCGCATATTCTCTGGAGTCTCGTTTTATCACAATTTAGTTATCTCACTATCACAAGTAGTTAAAGCATTTCGATTGCTATCAAAAATGACTGTAATTTAAGTAAAAACACAGTGCTTATCAATTGTGTTGCTCATTAGTTGCACCTCTTAGTTGCTCTGACTGAGTTGTATTTTTCAATTGTGACAGTTATTAGCTCTGAAAAGCACCGAGACACACAGGTGTAATGGTTCCCAAGCCTCATCTGCATTTCACTGTGGTATGGCCAATTGTTGGGACTATTTCATGGTGAAGGTTTAAGTTCAGGTTGCACATTCTTCTTCTTCATGTTTTACATGCAGATGTACATACGTGTATGCAAGTTATGGGAAGGCTCCTTAGTAAAAACCATTTTTTTGTTCACATGAGTTATGGCATGATTGTTGACATAGAAGTAACCGTATTCTGTAAGCGCTAGCTCCTTCTCCAATTAGTGTCTTGCGTGTTGGTCCAACAAATGGAGGAACCTACAGCTTATTCTAAGTCACCTCCGAACGGAGGAGATTTTATTTCAAGTCTGAAATAATCTCGGAAGGGTTGAAATTCCTTGCAGAGGGTCGATATATTGGGCGTACAAAATAATGTGGTCCGTTTTTTGCATTCAAAAAAAGCTGCAACTTTTTTTTCCATCTCTCTGGTAGATTCTGAATAGCACCTCATAAACTGATTCCTCTCTGTCCTCGTCATAATCATTCAGCCATTCTTCGATTTCTTCAAAATACTCAAACCAGTGACCCCCCAAATTGTTTTGAATACGTCAAAAAATCCAGTAGTCGGGAAGAACCAGGTCTGGAGAATACGGCGAGTGTGGTAAGGCCTCTCTTTTTAAGCGTTTTTAGATAGTTTTTGACCTTACAACCACGTCTGACGAGTGTTGTCATGTTTCAAAATCCCTTTTCATACATTTCAAACGCATCAGTTGTAGTCGATAGCGCGTCGCGGTTGGGGTTTGGCATGGATCTTGATCCAGCGCAGCTTTCAATTCCTCATCATCAAACATTTTGGGTTGGATAGCCCCTGCTGGACATACGTTGGGTAAGTCGAGGTCGAGTCTGGATAGGTAGGAGCTTAACCTGTAGCAATATCCAGACCTAAACTGCACCAGTATAACGCGGGCCTTTCCAGGCAGCTTGAGTTCTTCATCTGCAATGAATGATGATTTGACTCCGAGGACGCCATACGCATGGAGGGAGTTTTTGAATGTGTAGACTGACCCCTGGTGAATGGCGTTTAGCGCCTTTCTGTTCCGCCTGTCCTGTGCCCGGGTGGAGGTTTAGTCTCTATTAGATGTCTGTAGCAAAGCAGTAGAAATTGCTTGCCCAGCAAAGCATTATTCTGCTTAACTCGTAGCATAGATACTTCGCTGGGCAAGAGATGCGGCATCAGAAGTTTTACGTTCGCGTTCCTATAGGCGGTGTTTTGTCTCTGTTGTCCAGATCGTTGCAGCGTATTTCCGACCAACCAGATAATTGCTTTGTATGGTGACAACAAAGTTTCTTTGTCTTTTCCGCACCGACTAGCACCTTCATGATTTTGTTGTAGGCTCTGGAGTTTTGCGGTCATATGCGGAGTGAAGGAATGCAGACTGTCGAATGTGACTCCGAGTAACTTTGGGTTGTTTGTGTACGGAATATTGACGCCATGGACTTTCACAACGAGTTCGAGCCTTCGAGCTCCTTCGTCCAGCTGGTGAAAAGGGTAGTGCGGAAATTCTATCGGTTGTATTTATAGTTGCCTAGTCGTGAAGAAGTGGGAAAGGTCGCTCAGACAATCGTTTATTTTCGTGCAAAGATCATCAATATCCTGGCCCGACGCCAATATCGAGCAATCAACGACATATGAAGTCAAGGAGGGAGCTTCGAGATGTAGAAGCTAAACTGTAGCGGGGAAGGACACTACACCGCGAACCACTTGTTTAATATGTCTGAGTTGCGATATTTGACTGTGAAATTCTAGCGATAATTGACGACTACACGGGTAGCCTATGATCCACCTCTTTAACCCCAGCGGCAATCGGGATTCCTCAATGTCAAACGAATGTAGGGACCAACAGTTAATATTGAAAAAGACCACCAAACGGCGCTCTTTTATTTCGTGCTAGAAATATTCTCGTAGAGCTGCCGAGGAGTGACGGCAATTAGAAAATTTTAATTTTTACAAGTATAACAATGGATGTTGCTCGGACCGGGACTAGCACTCTGACCTTTAGAACAACAGTGCGCAATGCTTACAGCTCGGCTACTGCGATCGAAGAAAATTAGTCATAGTCCATGCAATCCTACTAATTTATTTATACTTATCATATCATCTCAAACACTAGTCTCTATATAATAACAACATAAGCCTATTGAGAGTTCACAACCCGAATTGCAAACGAAGTGCACTCATTAATAATGAGATTACAATATTCTTCGGGTTCAACGCGTAGTATTCATGATTCAATTACTTTCACTCTCAATCGCAGCACTTGCTCACACGAAGCACTTTGTTGATTATAGATGAACACATTTATATATATATGTATGTATGTATGTATGTATGTTTGTTTGTTTGTTTAAGCATATTGTTGTAATAAATTGTAATGTAATTTATTTAAATTAAAGCCTTATTGTGAATCTCTGTCCACACAACAACAACAACAACAACAACAACAACAACAACAACAACAACAATAATAATAATAACAACAACAACAACAAACGTATTCAATGATCAGTTTCTCACAAAATATTAATACAAATAGTTGTATATGTAATTGCAAGCATACATATGCATGTACATACATACATACATACATACATACTTTCCCATGATGTGAAAATAATTATTTTACATGAAAGGTGAAGAGGAAATTAATATTGGTCAAATCAATTGCGAATGCGATAATTTTAATTGTCAGAATAAAATGCAATTGTGGAAGAACAGAGTTTGCAATAGGTCAACGGACTTATGCATAACAGTAAAGAGTAAGAGAGGGTGGCCGCATAGTGGAGCCTATGCACATTGGAACAACTTTCGAAACTTTCGAGACTTTCGTGCTTGTGGGAAATTTTATTTCCCTTGCATCCACAGTGATTCGGGGTATGCAAAGATTGAGAATGCATATGCGTCTACCTCCAATAGCTAGACCCAAGTCATACGTCCAGAGGACGATATCTCTTATATACATTAGGACCAGCAAGTTTTCGGAATTTGTTTTTTTCCGATATTCGATATTTCGATACTCATGAATCCATTCCAGCGGAACAGAGAGCGTATTATTTGAGTGTTTTGCGAAAACTTGCGCGAAAACATCCGTCGTAAACGGCTGGAATGGCGGGTCAAGAATTTCCAAAAACTTTCATGACGATAATGCGCCATCGCGTCGAGCTGTAGTTGTGAACGATTTTAAGACCAAAAACTCGTTCAGTACCATAGATTAACCACCATATTCATCACGCCGTGGAACCCGTTTCGACTCGGTTAAGGACATAAAAGAATATAATTGGCGCTTTGTAAGTGCTTAAGCGATGTTCGGCCGAGCTCCTTCCCCAATTTGTGGTTTTGCGTTTTGATGCTTTCCAACAAATGAAGGGACCTACTGTTTATACTAAGTCACCGGCGAACGGCTTGTGGGTTTTAATGAGGTGCCTTATTTCATGTCAGAAATAAACTCGGAGGGGTAGACATTCCATGCCGAGGGGTGGCCGCAATTAGAAAATTTAACTTAATTTTTTATTTAAATTAATTTTCTATAAATTTTTGGATGTTAGTACGACACCAGCCAGATTTGAACCCGAGCCTTCCGAGTGGCAATACGCAATGCTAACCACTCGGCTACCACGGTCGCCATATATCTAGCCAATCTTAATATATTGATTGCATTTTTTTATGATATTTACGACAATATAGTGATCAGACCCTCTGAGAGCACATATTTTAAACTCTGTCTGTGTAAGTATTTTTCTCAGTAGACGCTCAAATAAATTGAGCGATCGTGCTTTTCTAGATAATGCCGCGTTTACCGTAATATTAGATAAGCTTCGCGGTATTTGCGAATGTTTAGTTATAGAGTCTTGTTTTCCACGATTTAAACCATTATTCCTAGGCATAATCTTTGATCCAAAAGTGCATGATTTTTCCAAATCCATTTTTTTTTACTTAGCCGAGAATAACTTCGAGCTCTGACTATAATTTGTAGTATGTGTTTTGATGTTTTTTTCATTTTTTTTTAACTTTCCGAGACCGTTCACATGGTAGTGCGTACTGCTAGCTACTCGATTGGTGTGACTGGAATTAAATTTAACCTCCATCTGTTACTATAGAATGAGCAGAAGATTAAGTAAGGCCTAAACTAGCCTAACCTAACCTAAAGTGACGTGAGAAAATTCCTCTCAAAGTCAGCTTTTCTGAGAATGAGACCTTGTTTCCCATTTTTAAATTTCTATCATGTGGAACGGGTTTCCTTCTAAGACCAGCCTCTACTTGGCACTGCATATCTTCTGTCTGTGCGGTCGTTAAGCGCTATAGCGCAACAGATGCGCTGAAAAGTCCCGGGTCTAACAAAGAAAACGCATTTTTTATTCTTTCGAGCAAAATTTCTTGAGATCTTTGTAAAATGATCAAGGTGAGAGCAATCCGAAGATCATTTTATGTAGTTTTGTTGTTAGTTTGATTGAAATGTGACATGTGCATTGTTTTTGTTTGTGTTGATAAAAGAAAATTTTGTTTCTTTGCCAATTCGCGGTCAGCTGATTGCATTTTTTTGGCACTCAAACGCTCCCTTCTCGAGATAAACGATGAATGTTGCACATCCCAAAATACATTACCTTTCCAGCCGCTTGTTCGAGCGCTTTGAGCAATTTTCACCAATTACTGTCCACTCACATGGCGATCGTTTTGATTCCGGAGAGAAAAGAAAGTGACCTTACATGGACGCTTAACGACGCAAAAAAAATATTACCAAATTTCATTCAGAAGAAACAAGACT